CTGATGCAAAGGCGGAAACAAAGCTCGATCAGAGAGCAAGGCTGCCATCAAGCAAGCGAGGATAACTCGGAAGCAAAGAGGGAGAGCCATCGGATAAGTATTTGTACACGTCGAAGGATTATATCCGAGTTAACATTTCTATCCAAGGCCGCTGCTTCAAAAGACCCCAAGGCAAGAACACTCAATCTGGCAAACAAGAAGGTCTTCAAACACCGATACAAAGCACTCCACCGACATTACCAACGACCCTACCAAGAGTAAAAAGGGTGAAGGTGCTCCCGAGACTGCCAAGTCAAGGCACCGCGACCCAAACCGTCCCCAGGTATAAACTAAATCTAATTCGAACTTATGAAAAGATTGTGCATCCTCAATGCTTTGAGCTCGCGAGAGATACAGTCTTTCATTGGAAAGAAATGAGCCATGCTAACGATGATCCCAGCCTGAGGAAGAATCTGATTCTTAAATATTCAAATTTATGATCTCGATTGAGATACAATAATGTGTCTTTGCCCCTCGTAATGTACATAATGTATCAAAATCCTTCACAAAAGCGTAATGATAGATTTCGAGGAGGGGAATTATCATGAATTGCAGTTTCTTCCTCTTGTTTCTTCCGCAATGTGCGCATCTCTTCATGAGTTGATTTAAATGCCATGCTGGGCGACTGTTCTACTGAATAACTACTGTCTATAGTTGTGTTAGATTCAAGATTGGGGAGCAAGTTGGGTAATAAAAAGTTTTTTGACTGTCTAGTATCGAATTGTATGAACCATCCATGATTGCTGGTGGAAAGTCAATCCACAAAGTTCAAGTGAGAGTCGTACTCTAGAGCCAAACTTAAGTGTCACACCTGCCAAGGTATCCATAAAATCTAGGAAGAGCAATTACTAGTCAGTGGTAGACTATATAGAAGGAGCGACTGAACCCCAGTGTTTTGATGTATATTTCACACCTTCACTTTTGCACTCTTACCCAAACATCATCAGAATTATTATCTGTGCATTGAATCATTACTGTAATAAGTGCATCGTAAGTGAGAATTCCATACCACGTTAAAACTATTCCTAACCTGAATGGACAGCTCATTCATAAATATCGCTCCAATGATCATGCAGCTCGCCGGGAGAAACGGAAGCTGGCCAAGAATCCACCAGTCACGAAATATAATTTGGATCCAAACTACTCCAGTCCATCGACAATCACTTGCAACTACTGCCCCTGCTCCTGCTATAGTTGAAGCCAGGCAGCCCGCTGTCACTCCTCAATTGCGTTATGCCATTCCCGATCAACCACAAAATCGGAGCTATCTATGAAGAGGAACAAGTCTGAACATAAAGGACAGAGTGATTGGATGTTCCGTTCTGCCATCATCCCGAGGGTGATCACAAAAACTGCCTTGGAGGATTATTTGTTCCTTGTCTTTATATGGAAAAACTCACTGGCGATTGAAGAATGTGGCTCTTGGTCGAATCCGCATAATTTCAAGTCTTCTGATGGTTGCAACTCGATGTGTTGGATCCATGTGCTTTGACAGCTGCTTGTTGTCTGTCGAGTAAGTACATACTCCGGTCAATATTCATCATTTCTCTTTTAACCAACAAAAATAGTTGGTCTTACTCTTATACAACGTGCCCGATTCGCGCCCAGTACAGAATTTAGGTCTATGGGAATATGTTATCAAGTCATGTTTCTGTGGTCCATTGTTATGATGCAACATGATCGAAGGTCCGGCTAGAAAGGTGCTTCGGGGCTAGCAGATTCCCCAATGAAGCACAAATGTCTTGGAAACAACCCAAATTATCACAGCCAATGAGATATGTCTCGCAAAAAGCACCTTCGCCGAAAATCCTGGCATAGAAAACAGGATATTCAATCAAGAAGGCGTTATACAAATTCTGAGCTCAAGAGTCCCTGCAGTAGCTTTGATGCAGTGAATATAGCTGTCAGGGTTCGAATTACCAGAGCACCGCTCAACATGTGAGATGGATGAACTGAAGATCATGTGCTTATGGAACCGCACAGGAGGCTATCAACTCCATAATGCCGGTCCGCTGTTGACGGTACTACATCTTCAAAACAGAAAACTCGAGTAAGTTCAGAGAGACTCAGTCTAGGTAGTATGCCAGCTGTAGTACGTTTGCTATTGAGCCAGATTCTCCTAGTCCCTCAGTTCACGGAACTTATTACGAGTCAAAGGTGCGAGAAACTCTCTAGAATGCCAGCAAGAGGAAATCTTTCTTACGTTCATGACTTCTCTGATTACTCCGCTACCAAGATTGTATTGGATCATTATGCTAAGGAAGAGAAGCGTTTGCAGGAAAAGGAACCGTCCGTTGTCCCGCTCACTTTGGGAAGACAAAGAAAATCTTCTGCTCCGTTCTCGGATGATCCTGTTGTACCATCTACCACATCCTCTAGTTCAAGCACGGTTCGGCAGCATACCTTTAAAGAAGATGTTGTTGGAATGCCCGCTTTCTGAACTTGCCAACCCGCGTCGTATCGATAGCTGCGCTGAATCAGTGGACTCTGCTTGGTTATTAGATATGCCAATACAACATCGAATTTCAAGTTGTTCCATTATGCCTAGGAACCATCTAGTATCCAAAGGTCAATAAGACAACACCGAATAGGCAAGCTGTCCTGCTACACCTGGTACCCCGGTTATTAGAACCCCGAAAGCTCTGCAGAGAAGAATCGCATGCTGAGTTGCACCGTCGAGACCGCACCCCCATCAACCTCACCTTCTCCAGTTATGCAAAACAATTACTCACCATCTATCATGGATATCGTGGATGATTCCTAGGCATAATGGAACAACTTGAAATTCGATGTTGTATTGGCATATCTAATAACCAAGCAGAGTCCACTGATTCAGCCAGCTATCGATACGACGCGGGTTGCAAGTTCAGAAAGCGGCATTCCAACAACATCTTCTTTAAAGTATGCTGCCGAACCGTGCTTGAACTAGAGATGTGGTAGATGTACAACAGGATCATCCGAGAACGGCAGCAGAAGATTTTCTTGTCTTCACCAAATGAGCGGACAACGGACGGTCCTTTCTCCTGCAAACGCTTCTCTTCCTTAGCATAATGATCCAATACAATCTTGTAGCGGAGTAATCAGAGAATCATGAACGTAAGAAAGATTTCCTCTTGCTGGCATTCTAGAGAGTTTCTCGCAACCTTTGACTCGTAAATAAGTTCCGTGAACTGAGGACTAGAGAATCTGGCTCAATAGCAAACTACTACAGCTGGCAATACTACCTAGACTGAGTCTCTCTGAACTTACTCGAGTTTTCTGTTTGAAGATGTATACCGTCAACAGCGGCACCGGCATTACTGAGTTGATAGCCCTCCTGTGCGTTCCATAAGCACATGATCCTTCAGTTCATCCATCTCACAATGTTGAGCGTGCTTGGTAATTCGAACCCTGACAGCTATATTCACTGCCACTCAAAGCTACTGCAGGACCTCTTGAAGCTCAGAATTGTATAACGCCTTCCTTGATTGAATATCCTGTTTCTATGCCAGGATTTTCGGCCGAAGTGCTTTTGCGAGACATATCTCATTGGCTTGATAATTGGTTGTTTCCAAACATTTGTGCTTCATTGGGAATCTCGCTAGCCCCGAAGCACCTTCTCTAGCCCGACCTCTCGATCATGTTGCATCATAACACATGGACCACAGAACATGACTTGATAACATCATTCCCCATAGACCCTAAAATTCTTACTGGGCGCGAATCCGGCACGTTGTATAAGAGTAAGACCAACTATTTTGTTGGTTAAAAGAGAAATGATGAATATTGACCGGAGTATTACTTACTCGACAACAACAAGCAGCTGTCAAAGCACCATGGATCCAACACATCGAGTTGCAACCATCAGAAGACTTGAAATTATGCGGATCTCGACCAAGACCACATTCTTCAATCGCCAGTGAGTTTTTCCATATAAAAGACAAGGAACAAATAATCCCTCCAAGGCAGTTTTGTGATCACCCTCGGATGATGGCAGAACGAACCATCCAATCACTCTGTCCTTTATTTCAGACTTGTTCCTCTTCATAGATAGCTCCGATCTTTGTGGTTGATCGGGAATGGCATAACGCAATTGAGGAGTGACAGCGGGCTGCCTGGCTTCAACTATAGCAGGAGCAGGGCAGTAGTTGCAAGTGATTGTCGATGGACTGGAGTAGTTGGATCCAAATTATATTTCGTGACTGGTGGATTCTTGGCCAGCTTCCGTTTCTCCCGGCGAGCTGCCATGATCATTGGAGCGATATTTATGAATGAGCCTGTCCATTCAGGTTAGGAATAGTTTTCAACGTGGTATGGAATTCTCAACTTACGATGCACTTATTACAGTAATGATTCAATGCCAAAGATAATAATTCTGATGATGTTTGGGTAAGAGTGCAAAAGTGAAGGTGTGAAATATACATCAACAAACACTGGGGTTCAGTCGCTCCTTCTATATAGTCTACCACTGACTAGTAATTGCTCTTCCTAGATTTATGGATACCTTGGCAGGTGTGACACTTAAGTTTGGCTCCTAGAGTACGACTCTCACTTGAACTTTGTGGATTGACTTTCCACCAGCAATCATGGATGGTTCATACAATTCCGATACTAGACAGTCAAAAAACTTTTTATTACCCCAACTTGCTCCCCAATCTTGAATCTAACACAACTATAGCACCAGTAGTTATTCAGTAGAACAGTCGCCCCAGCATGGCATTTAAATCAACTCATGAAGAGATGCGCACATTGCGGAAGAAAACAAGAGGAAGAAACTGCAATTCATGATAATTCCCCTCCTCGAAATCTATCATTACGCTTTTGTGAAGGATTTTGATACATTATGTACATTACGACGGGGCAAAAGACACATTATTGTATCTCAATCGAGATCATAAATTTGAATATTTAAGAATCAGATTCTTCCTCAGGCTGGGATCATCGTTAGCATGGCTCATTTCTTTCCAATGAAAGACTGTATCTCTCGCGAGCTCAAAGCATTGAGGATGCACAATCTTTTCCATAAGTTCGAATTAGATTTAGTTTATACCTGGGACGGTTTGGGTCGACGGTGCCCTTGACCTTGGCAGTCTCGGAGCACCTTCACCCTTTTACTCTTGGTAGGGTCGTTGGTAATGTCGGTGGAGTGCTTTGTATCGGTGTTTGAAAGACCTTCTTGTTTGCCAGATTGAGTGTTCTTGCCTTGGGGCTCCTTTGAAGCAGCGGCCTTGGAATAGAAATGTTAACCTCGATATAATCCTTCGACGTGTACCAACATACCTTATCCGATGGCTCTCCCTCCTTTGCTTCCGAGTTATCCTCGCCTTGCTTGATGGCAGCCTTGCTCTCTGATCGAGCTTTGTTTCCGCCCTTTGCATCAGGAATTGACTTGCGGACGTTCTTGTCAGTCTCTCCGACAGTCTCTTCGTCATCGGAAGTAGCTGGGTGTCTTGTTCCTTAGCCTCGTCATCACTGTCGGATTCTTCGCTCTTCTCGGACTCCTTTGGCTCTTCCTTATCCTCAGTCTTTTCCTCGGTCTTCTCTTCGTCTTCTCTTCAGACTCAGCTGGCTTGTCTTCTTCTTCTCTTCTACCTCCTCTTCCTTCTCTTCCTCATGCTCTTCATGTGCATGGCTATCCCCGTGTCCTCCATGACCGTGAGCAGGTTCTGTTTGTTTGAGATCAGGAACCAACATGATGGGATGGTAACGGCTACTGCTCCGGCAGCCCTAAAGTATGACGTATTAGTTCAGGAATTCTTTCAAGAATGTTAAGATCAATAAGAATAAGGTAAAACATACCAAACAGCATCACCACCCGATTTTGCCTGTCCATGACCTCCACTGGCATAAGTTCTTCTAGCGATTTGGTTGAATTGAGGGCGTGCTCGGATGTTGCGCAAGTTGCGCACAATAGCTGCTCGTGAGAATGCCATTATCGGAGGGTAAGATTGAAAGGTAGGTATAAGTAACCTAACAAAACGTTATCAGTGACAATTTTGATGATAGATAAAGCTTGAGGAAATAGCTGTATATATCAATTGATGTGTGGGAGAAAGGATAGGAAACGTAGGTAGGTACTTTATGAGGTAATACAATATTATTGAAGGAATTGAGGTTCCGAAAAAATCCTGGCAATTAGTAGTTGGGCAAAAGATCACGCCAGCTGAGTCTAATTGGAGCTTCTCTGGAGCAAAGCTTGGTGCAGGTGGAGCTTCCGCATTATTCTGTATCCTGAGGCAACAATTATCAGACTGACTAAGCCGATCTCCCACTTCCTATGGCTAGAACCGTCAAATACCTACGTGGGCACGTGCTAGAGCCTAGGTATGTATCAACAGACACCTACTGTACGGAATACTGTACGTACTAGCTCAACCCCCACTACTTCTTCCGTCACCTCAAGGACCCATACTATCTAGTACTTTAATAATTATCTACAGTATCAACTTTACAATCGAAACCAATACACGAGTACATTGTCACTGTCTTTACGACTTCAAATAAACCTTTCTCAACAACCATCTTGTCAAGTAAGTTAGTAATTCTTACATTCCCTAACACTTTCTTGCTTGTGGATCTTGGATATTCAAACTCGAAATAACATCCAAGAGTAATAAGCTAACTTAGCTCTACTTCCTCAAGGCTCCTCCCATTCACACCCGCACCTAAACTAGAAAAAAACAACAACAAAATAACTACGGGCGTCTCCAAAATACAAATGGTAGTTTGATATTGCCATAGCACACATTTCTCCTTCCAGCTCTCATCATTAGGCCTGCCGGTCCATAGTGAAGATGGCTTCCAGCTCAATAACCGTCAATCCGACTTCATTAACAGTTGCATCTCTGTTGCCAAAACTTCACGATGCGGATCCAGATTATAGATTCATGTCATTGAATGATCTTTTCCAGGTGTTGGAGAGTGGAAAACCGGATTTCCTCCACCACGATTACAATACAGCTGCAAAGACTGTGGATGGTGTTATTAGAACGTTGGATGATCAAAATGGAGAGGTACAAAATTTGGCCATCAAATGGTTAGTATGCCAACAATCCTCGATCTAAGTAGAATTCAATTGACTTAAAATAGCCTTGCTCCCCTTGTTGCAAAGTTACCCAGCAATATAATTGCTCCTTTAATCGAGAGACTTTCGACATTAACAACTGAAAATTCGGTTGACAACTCAATACCTGCTATGGCTCTGCGAACGGTTGTCATCACTTTACCAAGACCGATCAGTGGTGTTACCCCTTCAAAAGATGTGCTCGAAGCATATTCTGCTATTAGCAGAGTTTTGATCCCAAGATTAGTCGGACGTGTCGTTGCTCAAAAACCAAACAAAGGCCAAAACCTTCCAAACCCCCCACCAGGAATGCTTGATCCTTCCACAAATACCGAAATTGACTCCGATGCTGTTGATGTTTTGATAGAAGTCGCAAGATGCTTCGGCCCTCTTTTGCAACACACAGAAGTCGAAGCACTACAAAGTTTAGTTGTCGGTATCTTAGAGACTGAGAAAGCTAGTTCTGTCGTCAAGAAGCGGCTGTTGTTGCAGTGTCTCTACTTGCTATGTACTTGACGGATTCCGATCTCAGTGGCTTTGTATCTCATATCATCGAGTGCCTCGCAATCCGCATTTGACACCTGTACAGAGACGTTTATACATTACTATTCTCGGATCGATGGCTAGATCCATACCCTCGAGATTTGGTCCTTACTTGAAAACTCTTGCGCCATTTGTGCTTTCTGCGCTGAGCGAGCAAGAACTTCAAGATCAGATTGAAAACTCCGCGGAAGATGGCGAAAGTAACCCGGAGTTGGACGATGTAAGGGAATCTGCACTTGTGGCACTGGATGGCTTTCTAGCCTCTTGTGGTGCAGAAATGCGAATTCATACAGAAGAAACAATCGCAGCAGCTCTCAGATTTTTGAAGTATGATCCAAATTACAACGACGATGATGACGACGAAATGGGAGAACTCAATCTGATGAAGATGATATGGCCGATTTCGATGATGACGATGATTTCGAGGCAGACGCTGGATTGACGACGATGATGACGACGCAAGTTGGAAGGTTCGAAGATGTGCCGCCAAAACTCTCTATACCTTAATTTCAACTAGGGGTAGTGGTGATCTACTTGAGGATGGAACTCTATACGCCCAAGTGGCGCCAACTCTTATACAGAGGTTCAATGAACGAGAAGAGAATGTTCGCCTTGAAGTTATTGCTACCATGGCATGTCTAATTGGGAAAACTGGGGAGGGTGTTCTAGTCAACTTTTCGCCAGATGAGTCTTTAAACCATGCAAATCAAGCGCCCCCAAGTCGAAAGCGCAGAAGAGAGAGTGCCGGTCAGCCACTTTTGACACTAAATCATTCATTTCAAGATCTGCTGGTCTGACATCACCAACTATTGAGCCGCTACCTGTTTCGGGTCCCCGAACAGACTTGGCAAGATTGACCCCTGTGATTGTAAAGAGTATTGTGAGATTATTGAAGACAAGCTCCATTCCAACGAAGCAAGCTCTCATCAACCTTTTGGATGGTATGGTTTCAGTTCAGGTGGGAGGGCTCTCAGAACACTTCGGCCAGCTTGTGGATCCTATCATAGATTCTATCAAAACATCGGGAGGTTCATCGTCTACTGCAACTACTAGTGGCGGTGCTGCCTCGGCCACTGCAAATACCCTGCGAATTGCTGCTCTCAAGTTATTGGGTGATGTTGCGCAAACTCATTCTTCGAGCGTATTACAGCCACACCTGCCTAAAATCATTCCATGTGTAGCGTCAGCTGTACATGATAGTTTTACAAGATTTCTGGTGAGGCTGTCGGTACAGCCGAACAACTCGTAAAGGCTTTGACACCTCCGAGATCGAAGCCGGCGAAGTCAACTCAGCAAGAAGATATTTTGAAATTATATCAAGTGATAGTCGATCGTGTATCCGCTACCGATGCAGATGTTGAAGTTCGTCAACGTGCTATACATGCTCTAGGTATCATGCTTGCTCGCACAGCAAGTCCCGAGGGCTTATCGCTTCTCTCAGAAACTAACCGAAGTTCTGCTCTCACTCTGCTTAGTGATAGACTAAAGAACGAAACCACTCGCCTCGCTGCTGTAAGAGCTATCGATACTATTGCGGTCGGTTCAATTGAGGTTGGTCCAACCACTAAAGGCCAACTGCAGCCACCATGGATTCGAGATGTCTCTCTAGAGCTTGCTGCACAACTCCGAAAGGCCAACAGATCGCTTCGCGGTGCAAGTCTTGGAGCTCTGAAGAATCTCATTGTTTCTCCGGCAGCTAGAAGCTCTCTCGACGCTCCGACTGTTCAAGGCCTTATCGACGCACTTCTTCCGCTCTTAACCACAGTTGATCTTCATCTTCTAGGTCCGGCACTACTAGTACTGGCTACTTTGGTGATGGATGAAGCAAAGCTTGTTGTTACAGACCAGCTAAATCTTGCTCTTTGCGGGTTATTAACCTCGTCATTAAGTGGCGCTGTACTTGACGCTGTCCTTCTCTTGGTCGCCAATATCGGCAAGCAAGGAGTTGGTCAACCTTTGATGTCTGGTTTATTGAGAGACGTTAGTACTAGTGGGGACTCTACAGTTGTAGGAAAAGCTATCGGAACGCTTTTGGTATTCGGAGGATCCTCAGTCGGAGTACACTTGACAACTTCTTGACCGAATTACAAAACCCCTCCTCGGATGAAGCTAGACAATGCTTAGCCTTGGCTGTTCTCGGGGAAGCTGGATTACAATTGGGGGCAAAATCGCCATTGAATCCATCCACCTTCACAGCTCATTTTAAATCCTCTTATGACAAAGTTCCTCTTGCTGCAGCAATCGCATTAGGACGCGCGGGAGCTGGAGACACACCTTTGTATCTCTCAGAGATATTGAATATGATTAAAGGTGGAGATGAATTTTACTTCTACATTCTATCAAGGAAATACTTCAGCAAGCTGGCAACAACCCCACTGCCATCACCCAGCACACCACTACTCTCTGGGAAAGATTGCTTGCCGCTTCGCAAGCTGAGGACAACAAAGCTGTTGGCGCAGAGTGCATTGGTCGTTTGACAATGATTGATCCAAGGCATTTATGCCACAATTAAAGGTTTGTTGTGATTGGAAGATGTTGAATTTGCATCCGCTAATGTTTTTACAGGGCTATCTCTCCGACCCAAATGCTTCAATTAGAGCTATGGTTATTCAAGCTATCCGTTATACCTTATCTGATTGTGACGACTCACTCGATTCAGTGCTAAAGATCATGTTGATTGATATGCTGAAGGTCATGCTGACTGATACCGAGTTGGAGAACCGTCGATTGGCACTGACTACATTGAATGCTGCTGCGCACAACAAGCAGATCTCATCAACCCTAATCTCAACCAGTTACTTCCATTTGTTATGAGTGAATCGGTAATAAAGGAAGAGTTGATTCATGAGGTAATGATGGGTCCTTTCAAGCATAAGGTCGATGATGGTCTAGAGGTCCGAAAGGTAAGATACTCTTTGTAATTTTAGTGATGCATCGCTAATCTAGGTTATAGAGTGCATATGAAACTTTGTATGCTCTTATGGAGACCGCGTTCTCACGTATAAACATACTTGATTTTTACGATCGTATTATCGCCGGTTTGAAAGATGAGCACGACATCCGATCTCTCTGCAATCTGATGTTGAATAAGTTGGTCATCCTGGATCCTGATGAGACGGCTCGACGCCTCGACGCGATTGCAGATTGCTTCCGCGTTACTCTGTCGGTCAAATTGAAGGAATCAGCTGTCAAGCAAGAAATCGAGAAGCAAGATGATGCAACCAAGAGTACTCTTCGCTCAACGCTGAATCTGCATGCTCGAATTCCATCAGCGAGCACAGGCATGGGTGCGCAAAGCAGCCAACATCAGACATGGAGAACCTATTTTGAATGGGTAGAGAAGGATTTCGAAGCGCAGTTGAAATCACTGAGGGAAGAGAAAAAAGATTGAATTCTTTTTAGCGGAGCGGAGGCGTAAATTTGACTAATAATGATGATGATATGAATGATTATGAAGACGAATGTGATAAAGATAGCGACGAATGACATTGGTATTGTTACGTATATGGTTTTACAAAAGTAAAGAGGCTTGCATACAGGACTTGCAATGCATACGAAGTGAGCGAACATGAAGCAAAGGCGGTTGGTTTTAAATAGTGGAGTTCAGTATGAATCCGTTCTTAAGCTAGATAGCTCCGTGCGAATCAATTACATTCTCAAATGGCGTGCTATACATGTGTCAGATATTGTGAGTAAACAGTTGGTGCATCAAAAGAAACCACCACTTAAGGCAGAAATGAGAGGAGTTCTATCTTTCATTTCCGCTAAAAAGCCACCCAGCTGTTGCTGTAATCTACAAAGAAAGGGTTCTAAATTTACATATGTAACATTGAATAAACGAACTCCTTTCTCGCTATTCAAGTATACAATAAAAGATCCATTTCTTCATAATCTTCCTTTCTTTCCCATCCCAATTTTCCACCTTTCCCTTTCGTTTTCATTGGACGTTCATTTTATACGATGCGTTTGCGTTGTATTTTTTCCCCTTCCGTTTCATACACGTTATACGTCATCCCATTTTAGCCCTTCTCTACTGTCTTAATGCATTAAATGATTTACTTGATGATTCTGGTAACCAATCCAGTGGCGACGGTTCGTCCTCCCTCACGAATGTTGAAACGCTGACCAACGTCCAAAGCGCAAGGCTTCTCAATCTCACATTGCATCTCGACATTGTCACCTGGCATGACCATCTTGGAATCGGCGTCTTCAGTTCCGTCGGGGAAGTGGAGAGCAGCAGCTTCATCAGCAGTTCTGATGAAGATTTGTGGGCGGTAGTTTTGGTGGAAACCGGTGTGGCGTCCTCCTTCTTCCTTGGTGAGAACGTACATGGAGACGAGGAATTTGGTGTGGGCCTTGGTGTGTCCTGGGCGGAAATGACCATTCCACGTCGGACATCTTCACGCTTGATACCACGGAGCAAAAGACCGGAGTTGTCTCCTGCACGGGATTCGTCGCAGGACTTCTTGAAAGTCTCGATATCAGTGACCTTGGTCTTGATGACTTGGTCTCCCTTTCCAACAATCTCGACTTCGGAATCCTTCTTGAGGACACCACGTTCGACACGACCAGAGGCGACAGTTCCACGACCTGGGATGGAGAAAACATCCTCAACGGACATAAGGAAAGGCTTGTCGAGGTCACGTTGTGGGGTTGGGATCCAGGTATCAACTGCGTTCATCAACTCGTCGATCTTCTCGGTTCCAATTTCCGGTCTGCGGCCCTCGAGTGCGCAAAGGGCAGATCCAAGAATGATAGGTGTCTCTTCTCCTTCAAATCCGTATGTGCTGAGGAGATCACGCATCTCCATCTCGACCAACTCCAACATCTCAGGGTCCTCAAGAGCATCGACCTTGTTGACGAAAACGACAATCTTTTGAACACCGACTTGACGGGCAAGCAAAAGATGCTCACGGGTTTGAGGCATTTGTCCGTCAGAAGCAGCAACGACAATAACAGCTCCATCCATGTTGGCAGCTCCAGTAATCATGTTCTTGATGTAATCTGCGTGACCGGGACAGTCGACGTGGGAGTAGTGGCGGGCTTCAGTGGCATATTCGATGTGGGCAGTCGAGATGGTAATACCACGCTTTCGCTCTTCGGAGCCTTGTCAATGGCACCGTAATCGAGGAAACTGGCCATTCCCTTCTCTGCTTGTCTCTTGGTAATAGCGGCAGTCAATGTGGTCTATACAATCATGATCTAATTAGCATTTATTTGCCTCTGCGGGGCTTTCGAGATTGATATGATGTACCTTTCCGTGATCGACGTGACCAATTGTACCTATAGAAGATTAGCAAACGCCCGGTGGCATACATATAGAAACAGACGCCATACCAATATTAACATGCGGCTTCGAGCGCTCGAAAGCGGTAGCATATGAGCGAGCAGCATTGATCACAGCAGCTCCATTTTGTCTTCTCAAAGCATGCTGTAAAGGACTGACAGCATTACCCTGACGCAGCGCAGATCGTGCTGTCTGGAAGAAAGGAGTAATTGATCTCGCAAACGCCGGCATTTTGAATGTGAGATTTAGAGGAAAGAAAGAAAAAAGAGTGTTTTGAGTGGGATTTACAAACACTGGTGCCACTGACAATATTTTGGTTCCATCTCGAAATATTTTTTGGACCATCTAGGTCGCCGTAGTGGAGTGTGAAGTTGGTCTGTGCGAGGATCTAAAATGACTTCAGTACTACAAACATGAATGAACAAAGCTACCTAGATAGATATAGAGTAACATGGGTTTAGAAGTTTATTCTAATTTGAACAATATATACAATGGACTTCTGTCTTCTGTTCCTACCTCTTCCTTCCTATTTGCTTGATAATGACAACCCTCAAGAACCTCACTCTATAAATACATACGTGACATTACATCAAGTTTCCACCAATTATGAGATTCGGATTAGTGGTTGCAGATCCACTCCGCACATAGCTTTTCAATATCTGGATTGTTGTTGAGATCGAAAAGACACCAAGAATTCGGGCGTGCAATAGTTATTCAGGCAGTTCTACTAAAATAAACGAAGGGCGAGCTGCTCTTCAACCAGCATCTATATGCCTATCCCACCGAACTCCCAACTCCCGCTATGCTAATATATCAATATATGCTAAATCACAAGGCAATGCCAAATCTTCTGAACTCCCTCGCACCCCAAAGATCAATTTGGGTAAAAGCGTCCCGGATACCACCCCATGCATCTAATCGCTCCAATTCTGCTGCCTCTACCTCGTTTGCTACAAGAGCACTTGGTTGATATTCGTGCCATGGCCATTCATCGGCGGGGCACTTTTCCCACTCCTCATCAAGCAAATCTGATCCCTCTCCTCTGAACCTAGGAGCATCGGGCACTTTTCCCTCACGAAAGTACGCCCTGACTTTCTCAATGGTACATCTGGATTTCACAGCTATAGTGCAATGTCCTTCGGATTCTTGTTCAAAGAAGCCCGCGTCCACGAACTTTGTGGCCATCTTTACTCCTGCGAATAATGGTGTAACAGGGTCTGCCCTGTTGCTAATATAAAGCAGTGGAAATGCAGTTTTGATTGGCTTCTGCCTATGTGCTGGATGGTCATCCCATCGCATGGGGGGATCAATACTTTGGATATCATATCCAGAACATTGTATCATGAGCGACATCCATGCATCCGCAAATACTGATTGGGCTTCCATGTCTTCGAACATGCTCTCAATCTCAGAGTATGTGTGGTTGAGCTATGAAAACAAGTTAGAACTCCAAAAATAATTCGTGCAGTAATATGCTTACTGGGTACTTCTTGTCACTGCAAAGAATGACTCTTTGCGCATCATCGTAATAACTCCACTTTGGCAGAGAATGGTTACAAACGAGCTCGAGATCGTACGACGGAGGTGTTGGAACAAGCTCAAACCAACCTTCGAGATTGCGTTCCAGGGCATCAAGCAATTCAGCGGCAGCTCGGAAACCGTACAGGGGAGCGTAGAGCGTCAGGAAAATTTGATATTTGACGTCTGAATAGGTCACGAGAAAGGGTGCTAGGATGTCCTTTGAAACAACAGGTATCGGGTTCTCTTTCAGTCTCTCCATAAAAGACTCAAACCTCTCCTCGATATCTTTTACCTTGTCATTCTCCCTGTAGAATTGACACGCAGACTTCGCCTCGTGGCAGTATTTGAAAAAAGACGACCACACCTTGTCCGCATCTCGTTGACTCTCGAGCCACTGCAAAATTGAGGAGTCAGTATCGCTTATCACAGAATGGCTTCTGAAGCAGAATGAGAGAAAGCGAGGTATAGAATTTATATCAGGATCCCAAAAAGTACACGTCATAAAACATAAAAGTGAAATTTGAGATCAGGGATCAGGATCAGATAGTAAAAGCAAAAGATTGTAGTGACCGGTTGAACTTACAATAGGAGCAACATAATGATCAGCATCGACAACACCATCCAGGACAAGTCGGCCTACTCTATCCGGGAACATTGCTGCGAAGGTAGATCCAAGAAGTGTCTAGAGAATTCAGTAATTATCACGAGACGGTTGAAAATACATACCCCGTAACTGAAACCCCAATACACTAATTTACCCTTTGTTTCTAGATATGCATCTTCGAATTCATTTTCTGGCTCTCTTTCATTAGGAAGATCAGTATCGGCAATATCAGAGTATGCCGATTCTTCTTTTATACTCGAGGTCCAATCATCCCACGCATCTATGATACTAATCATATCTCTTGCAACACTTGGTGTTCCCGCATGTCGAAAAATACTGGTTTGTCCACTCAGAGAATCCTTCTCCGCGCACAATTTTGCCATAGCTTTTGCACGTGCGTTAAGATGTCTCAATGCTGTTGAACTCGTATTAGCCAGACCGATTGCTTGGCCCGCGGTGTTGAAGAGTAGCCTGTGGTAATCTCCTCGTGCCTGATCATCTCCCACTCCATCGTATGTCCCTCCATACGAGAAACAATCGGCTCGTGGTGTCGTTGCTCCAATACCTCGAGGATCAAATCCAATCACATCTTGATCGCCACCAACAATATTTTGAATCAACGATCCAGCTGCTAAACCAAACAATGTACCAGAGCCTCCGGGCCACCTGGATTCAGGAGTAACGGCGATTCAGAGAATTTATCTCCGGTATGGTTCCCAGGTATTAGAATTAACGCAATATGTACTTTAGGGTTATCATCCGATTCATTAAGAGGCCGATGATAGTCCATAGGAACTGTGAGTCTTGCACATTTGAACCTCGATCCAGGAACGTCAAAACATGGGTACCATTTAAGTTTTTCACTCGGTATTATCTGTAAACATGTCAGATACCTGAGTCCGTAAACCACGAGAGGAAATTCTAGACCTCATCAAACTCATAGTACTTGTTCCCACGAATATCAGATATTGGTTCCTCAGACCAAACTAAATCTGATATGACAACCCATGTCCACCAGACAAACAAAATGGTAGCAATAGTAAGGCCTGGCCATTTCGAGGGAACTCTAATAACCTTCACGTTCTCAACTCGTCTAATGGTTTTAGGAAGAAGACTTCTTCTTTCCTCCACCTTGGGATCATCAACATCGAAATCTTGAAACGTCTTCATTGTAGACTCCTGTAAACTAGCTGGTTCATCGAAACGAGAATTCGCTAGGAAATCAAACACCAGTAAAAGTCTGTATCGTATTTGTCGATTTGGAAACGCAATAACTTCAAGAGAAGGCGTGAGGATGAACAAGACGGCTTGAAATGGAAGTAAAAGGAAAGTGTATGTCTAAAGCAGTACAGTTTCAGGCAGTCGGGGGCTCGGGGTAAGCGCACAGGTCTCATGAGGAATTACAAAGTTCGAGCACGTAATAGATCGGATGAGTTGTATCCAATAATAATCCTGGCGATGTTTCGTTTGTATCCATCAGCTGGCGCGTTTGATCTCCCTCCTACGGGTAACAGAAGGTGGGGGCTTAATGGTACGTGCGCCGCAATATCCATCAGGATCAGGTGATTTAAAGGTTGTGGAGGAAGGCGCTGAGCACAACAAGCATTCATATATGCTAGAACACTATCGACGGCTTAACAAACTTGGGTCATGTTTGACGCGCAACAAAATGCCACGACTCTGGAAATATTAACACTCGGATCATCAAGATGAACAGTCTGAATAGTGAATATGTGTTGGCCTGTAAACACACAATTCTCCAGATGATATGTCTGTACAATCTTGCGAAGAGAAAGAGTAAATTAATTGATGGCCCGGTAATATAGGAAGTTGAGTTTATCGATGGATTGAGTTTTTGGCACAAACGAAAGTAGCGTTGACGATGAAGTTGGATATTGTCTACAGGAAAGTGAGAAGCGCCTTCGTATGCATACCTAGGATTGTAAACTCCGGCATTCCGGTTGCAGGCGTTGTCCTGGGCATGCGCGTACCAGATCTCCCTCCAGGTACACACCAACTTCATGGCGCATGGTCAATTGAGACTTGGGGTATTTCGAAAGGCAACGATACAACTGCATCGAAAACGCTGAGAGTGACACGGCGTCCCTTAGCTGCAACCGACGAACGATTTCCCGTTGTCAAACTAATCGTGCAGTGAGTTTCTAGATATTAATGTAGCAATGTTGCCTCTGCGATGACACGCATAGATGTACGACATGTAGCGCTTGTTGAAGCGCACTGTGTGACATCACTTACATGGATAACAAAGCCACACAAAACACAAAGTAACGGCTCGAAGTTTGATAGTATATAAATAGATGACGGTTAAATGACACTGTTGCTCTATGTTGTACTTCCAGCAAATGACGGAGCTTTTGCTTCCCGTCTTCAATATGCATAAGGTCACCAGGCTAGTATCAAATCACTGATTGTAACACCTTTACAATTACAATACAGGCCCTTCCTTCGGAATATGCATCAACCACGGCCGTGGGATTCACTTAATCGAGATAGGTGTGGAACACTCAGAATGTCGCTATCTGTTAATAACTTTGGCATCGTGATGCTCAAAATTTCGTCGTCACCAACCTGAAGCGTTTGTCTGAGTTCTATACCCTCATTGCGACCACTCTTATGTGTTTGAGAGACTCAGACCACACCATATCAACGCTGTCAAGGCATGCCTTACTGCAAAGTGTAGAGTTATAGCAGCATATGTGGACTTACATGGACTTTCCAGTCTGCGGTCTCTCGCATTTGTATTAAGAGAATGAGCTTGAATCTACATCTCACACGCGTGTCATCCTTTCCAGCCCCCCAATGGCTTTGGCATCATATAATAGCAAGTCTGCTATGTGCAAACCTAGATCTGCGTTTGTTTTCATGCATTTGCAATGCAGTTTGCTAGAGATTGAGGGGTACCCGAGAAAATATATTACGCTCGTACTTCCACGCACATCCGATGTGGTACAGCAGCGATAGAGGCAATCGCAAAATTGTATTCCATCAGAAGAATGTTCGACACGCCAGAGATCGTCATTTCATGTCGGTGAAATGCATGCACTTCAGGGCTGGCGCTGATCTACCTTGAAACTAGTCATAGCTTAGCGAATATCCCTATCTTCATTCCGTCCACACTTCTCGTAATATCCAACTTCATCTGTCAAGATGTATCATCACTGTGCAAGTTACATAATTTATGATTGCGAGTCGTGCATATGAAGTGGTTTGCCATGTGGCCTTTTGCGCTTCGTTGTTCTGGAAGCCCTTGGTTCCAATCGTAACTAATTCACTAACTAGCTAGGAGGGTGAATTTTAGGGACATTGTCCAACTTAGTCAGTCGCATATTGATGTCCGTATTTTTATATGCCTTTCATACTTCTAAAATTCAGGTAAATTGTTTCTCCTATGGAACCACCCGAAATGCATGAAAGATCTTGGGCACCACGTTCTATGTCGGCGTCTCAATGCTTGATGGACTCTTTATTCATCATCGTATGGCAACTTGAAGTGAAAAACATTGTTTCTATCGACACTCTACCCGTTTAATCTTGTCAATCTAGTTTGTGAGTTTTGATGTTCCCAATATCTCCTTTGGAAGACGTACAATCAAGTGACAGAGGGTGCCGTACAAGGAAGTTGCGAAGTCTTAATATTCTACCGTACACACAAGGAAGGCACGAGGTCTCGACATTTTCAAATGCGGTCCGTTAACTCTACAGTTTACAATCAATCATGAACAAATGCACATAAAAACAAACACAAGTGCTCATCCTTCAACATCCTAAGTTGCTACCAACACCCAGCATCCAACACCTAGAAATAATCAGAAAATATTATCACCCAAATGTCTCCTTCGGCTATCATCGACGAGTCCAACTTCCTTTCAGCAGTTGTTGGCGAAGCCAAGGCTGCTCCTTCTAGCCCATGTCCACTGGCGCCAGGAAAAGGGGAATTTCCTTCTGTCGAGTACTACGATCATCTTGCTAGAACCTATGAGGGTGCTTTTTCCCACGACATCGGTCTCCGAGTATTCATTGAAAGAACCCTTCTGGAACTACCCAACAACTCAAAAGTTCTCGATATTGGCTGTGGAACTGGCAAGCCAGTCTCATACACGATGGCAGCCCATGGTCATAATGTTCATGGTCTCGACCTATCCGGCGCCATGGTCGATCTATCCATGAAATGCGTTCCCACGGGCTCATTCACACAAGCGGACATGTTGTATCATACCCCTCAATTCCAGAACAACACTCCTGACTTTGACGTCATCTTTACCATCTTCTCGCTCTTCTGCTTGTCTCGCGAAGAGATGACTACAATGGCCTCAAAGATGTTCAGTTGGTTAAAACCAAACGGACTCTTGTGTATCGGCACCATCTGCGCCGAAGACTTCAGAACAACACCTTCGATGTATGATGCGGATGGATTGTGCGCCACGGGTGTTGAAATGATGTTCATGGGATCAAAGTGTTCTTCCATGACAGCATTCACAAAGCAGGGTTGGAAAGGCCTGATTGAGGCCGCTGGTTTTGAGATAATTCACACGAAGAGTGATTTATTCACGCCACGGCCCAGTGCAGGCATTGCTTCCGATGATGAGATGCATTATTATATTATGGCAAGGAAGATCTAAGAGGATCAGTCTTCTTAAGTTTAGTCTAGAGTTTATTAATTGAGCTGAGCTTGCGCATTCACACTGATATCTCATTCTCCATTTTGTAGTGATACTTCCACCAAAAACTGCGTGCATGCACCGATCTATATTGCGCCAGTCTAAATACGAGAGTTAACAAATAAACTCTACTAGCTCTAATTTTGCCCCACGTCATTCACCACCCAATATTCACTCTCAAAATTCCCCCCTCATTTTCCCTCATCAAACAAGTGGGTCCACCACCTCATCGTCGCTCAATCTCCAACCTCTCCCCGCCCCTCAAAAATCAAAAATCGAACCCCAGAAACCTAAGATCATCACCACCCAAAAAAATGGCAAAACAACAGGGTGGCCAGCCCCATCATCCCAGCTTCTCACGCGCGTGAGTTCTGTGGCCAATATCCTGTTTAGCGCATTCAAGCCAGTCAATTCGACGACCTCCGAGCCACCAGAAGCCATCTCCTTGCTAACTCCGCTAAACGAATACATATTGGTTGAAGATGATGCTGGGTATTGGGATATATGTTGATAGCAAAGGTGAGCAGATATAAATATGATATTGGGAGACTCATTGCGCCTTTGTACTAAAGATTTCTGCGACGTATATTTTCCTGCTTATCGGCTCAAGACGTCACATTCAAGTAGAGGATGTAGCATGTGTCAATTCGGATGATGTCTTTGAAACCCTATAGCAAACAAGCTCGCCACAAAGAAAAGATATAAAATGCGCATAAAATCGGAGATATTAAACTTGGGCTGTGAAGATGTTGTGCAACGAGTATCTCGAAATAGAAAAAATCGACTCTTGATAGAAAAAGCGGACAGCGATCTCGTCTGTACAATAAAAGCAAATATCAACCCAAAAATCATTGTTATCATTAGGAAGCCAGGAAGAGACCCAAATCAAGTTTGCCGAATTGCGCAAAACACCACGAATCTCCGCTTTCCCGAACCATTTCCAACCTCCGTAGCCATACCGGTGCCTGTACCCGATTTATCCCTATGATCTCAAATCTAACATCTTGCCCAAACCCAATTTCCAATCTCCCACCCTTGACTACCCTTCTTTTCAAGACAATCCTCTCCAAACCCAAAATTAGGTTGGTCATGATACTCATTCTCCACCACGAACAACTCAATTTCCACACCATCTGTTTCCGTTCCTACTTTTTGCAAGTTGTCTGCGAAGGCTTTCACATCGTCGACAAAGGCTTCGTCTTCACCAGCTACGATTAGAATTGATGACACGACGGTGGGAAGACGTGACCACCATGATGAGGAAGCATAGAGTGGTTCAATGTAGTTATCTGATGGAGCAGAAGCCTGATAATCGCCTGCCCACTTTTGGTCGTTAGATTTAGGTTAGCCAAGTGATATCGGAATCAATTGGGCAATGAGGTCAAGATGAGGTTGAGAAAATTTGAAGGAAGTGCAATTTAAGAACGGAAACTTACAATTTTGACAGAGGTGGGGTGAATTAGATCCTTATACTTATTTGCCTCGTATGATTGAGAGCCGGTGGCAAATGTAACCCAAGGTGCTAAGAGCACAGCTCCATCCAGTGGTTTTGAGAGACGAACTCGAGGAATACTGTCATTTGGATGGCCATGCATGATGTGAGACAGCAGAGCGAGGACAAGATTTGCGCCTGCAGAGTCGCCAGCTAAGATTATGGAGGATGGAGCGTAGCTGAAAGATTGGAGATATGCCAGTTAGTCTTGGGAACTTATGATGGTGAAACTTGAGCATTTCCAATAGTCCAAACAGCAATTCATTCAAGATTTCAGCTTTGAGATTCTGAAGATACTATCATCGATGTCATAGATTCATTATTCCAAATCAATTTGATTGTCAGAACTATTTCAATGCTTAAAGGGATTAAATATTCCCAAGGTTTTGATTTTTGGGACGCAATCCGGACTATTGGACACCCAGTTTCAGAAAATTAAAAGGTAGACTTACTTCAAAGTTTGAACGACATGATTCAGCAACGCGGCAGCTTGTTCCAATTGCCGAGGATAGACCCTACTTGGGGAAAGATCTATATGCATTTATCAGTATTTACGTACCAATACTCAAATTACATGTAGATATAAGGTAAAATAGCATACCATAAGATAGGAACAATACCGCCAGACTCTTTCCCTCATTCTCCGCACCATCCACAAGCCTAAACATATATTCGACGGCTTCGGGGCTTGCAGGAAGTGCAAACCCACCTCCTAATAGACACGAACGATTCAGATCTTGTATGCGACGCAATGAGAAGAAATTTGGACAAACCATGGAAATTGAGAATTATTTTCTTCGCTCCTTTTTTGCCTATCCAGTGCGCCTGCGTTCCATCCTCCAAAGTCTCGCTCAAGGGTTCTACACCCCGCTGTTTGCAGACGGTTTCGTATGCATGATCTGTGTTTGGATTGACATATCTTATTCATTAGCATGTGATGCCAAGCTTCTACCCTCACTATTCATTATGGCAACTCGATAGCGAACTGAAATAAAGACCACCAAAGAACTTAAAACAAGGTGTTCTAGTGAACACCTCATGTAAGTCCGCAATTTCCCCAGCCATCTTCAAAGACAACTCACAAAATTTGCCTAGGACTCATTCTCCTACACATAGTCCTCACAGCTGTAAGAAGGACATATCTTTTGTAACTTCCCCTCTTCTCATTTCTCGTACGCCATATACCAGTCAGGAGACTGAAAAATGTGTTTCCTACTATTTCGGGTTTCTTTGATTAGTCCAAGTTTAGAATGTTCTGGTACATAAGAAAGGAAGCATTCGAGAAAATGAAGGGGTTGCATACAGATACTTGTGTATGCTAGCACAACATCCAGTTTCTCGGCAATAGATAAACTATCAGCCAATTTTTTCTGCGAAATACTTGAGGAGGACATTTTGGGATAAACTTTGTCGAGTATTTGAGAGACAAGATTAACGAGATGAGAAGAAACGAAACAAGATTTGTTCAAGAAAGACTAGCGATGAGCTAAGCAACTCTTCAGCTGAACATCCCCCGCATCCATGTACTACATCACCAGGATCGCTCCTGCTGCATATAGTTAGTTGCATGGGCTGTAGCTGGCATCCGAGCGGAATGGCGGCTGCAATGTAACCCTCAAATAGTTATTGAACAATGAGAGTAGAACAAATGATAAGCATAGGGTAAACAATAAAACCAGGATAAACAATAAGAACAGGACAAACAACTAGAACAGGATGAATGACTGGAATAAATTGAATGACGAACAAAACCTAGTATAGGAAACAACATATCCAGTATACAAAAACCTTCCGCAAAACCTTCCACACGGTGATTTTCCGGCGGGCCATGAAACATTGTCTTTCCGTGTAGATAAAAAATATTGTATTTGGGTATCATTGCTCTCTTTTAATTCAACTCAGCTTTTTCATGCCCCTCTTTCGCTTTCCACCAACTTCCCTTCCTTCCTCAATTTCTAACATAGCTTCACGTTTCTTCTCTCCTACTAACTTCAGCGATTCTCTGATTACTCTCGTTTCCAGATTTACGCCATCTTCGGCCCAAGCTTCCATCTGTCTTCCTACTCTACTCTCAATGGCCTGTATCAACTGTACATCTCTTTGGCCTACGAATGAAACGGCTTCTCCTTTTCTTCCAGCTCTGGCTGTACGACCAACTCGATGAATATAGTCATCTGGATCTCTAGGAATATCGTAGTTAATTACTAAACCCACCTCTGGAATATCAAGACCACGAGCAGCTACATCAGTCGCGACTAGAATTCTGGCCGCAGAGGCACGGAATCGACCCAAATTATCAATTCTTTGTCTTTGTGGAAGTTTAGAATGGAGGGCCGTGACTCGATGATCTAGAAGTCGCAATAAGTGGGTAAGGTAATCGGCAGTAGCGGTTCGATTGCAAAAGATAACGATAGATTTTGGTAGATTTTTCTCAGTAAGTAGGAACATGTGCAGATAGTGTTCTCGATGTGTTACCGGTACCTGCAGATGCATTTGATTGAGGGAAGGTGGAATTGCCAAAGCCTGTGTATCCACTTCGCAAACAAAAACTGGAAGCTTTCCTGGTGTGCGAGGCATGTCCTTCAAAGCTCGCACTTCTGGAGTGACTGTAGCCGTGAACAATAAGGTTTGTCGTTTGGCGGGAGGTGGAAGGATAGATAGACATTCTTCAACATCTGGTAGCATACTTCCTGCGCTACCGGATGCAAGTAATCGATCCGCTTCATCAAGAACCACCATGCGCACCCTACGTAAAGCACCGATTGTGTCTTCGCCCGAGGTTCGAATATGATCTGCCAATCTACCAGGGGTTGCGATAACAATATGTGGTCGTTGAGCAAGGGCCGTTGCCTGGGGTCGCATGTCCGAGCCTCCCGTTATCAGGACAGCCTTGAGAGATTGGGGAGATGAGATCGCTTTGAATTGCTCGTAAATTTGTAATGCCAATTCTCTAAAAAAAGTGATGTCAGCCAGATGATACCATATTCAACACGGCAAGGTCTTACCTCGTGGGAGTAAGCACTAAAGCAAAGATCCCGAAAGGATCTTCAGCCCATTTTTGTAGGATTGGAACAGCAAATGCCACTGTTTTTCCAGAACCTGTGCGACTACCTCCTATACAGTCTCTTCCCTTTAATATTTCTGGTATGCAGCCCTTTTGAATTCCTGTAGGCCGCTTGATAGCCATAGATCCCAGCGATCCCACCAACCATGGCTTCACATCCAAGGCAGCAAAAGTGGTTTGCGCATCTGTAGGAGCCAATATTGCGCCATTGCTAACATTTTTGGCATCGAGAGAATTTTTTTGCGATTTAACCTTCACCCGCGAAGGAACAGATGTGGTAGCAATCAAGGGGATATCTTTTTGCGTTGGCTCCTGGGGGGATGTTTTACGCCGTTTCCGTGAAGCTTGACTGTCTAAAGAATCTGAATCTGAATCTGAATCGGATTGCGAAATGTCATCCTGCTCATCTTGTTCGTCATCGGATGAGGAATTGTGATTTGACTGTGGAGATAACCCGGGCGCTTCAATTGAAACTCGATCGACGTTCTTGAATCCTTGTATGGATTTTTTGGAAGGCATTTTGGGTGGTCCACGTCGTTTTTGATGTTTTGAAAAAATTAGAGGAAATTATTTTTTTCCCTTACTTCATGGCTCGCTCACTACCATTTGCTGACTGTGCTATGGTACCTGCCAAATTCGCGCGCGCTAAAAAGCTTGGCGGGGTTCATCGTCTCTCTCAGAGTTTCTGGATTGGGACAAGGAGGTCAACCAATAGGATTATCTGGATTGATATTTACATGGGCAGGTAAGTTTATGGTTTTGTACTACGAATTATAATTGTCTACAAGTACAAGCATCAATAATATCCTTTCTCCATAGAAATGGAAATAGAAATCACTCATGCAAGATTCTCTATAAAAATAGCTCGGTTATCCTTTTCATTCTTGAAGAATTGCTTTAGTGAGTGATCAGAGGAACAAAGAAAGCGATTCTTTCTTTAGTTACAATTAGATTGATTCTGACTCCCGTCTCTAGAGCCAGCTATGATTTTCTCATATACGAAGTGGTGTATCTCGTGCCAGACAAGAAGATACGGGGAAGGGGAATTCCAGGAACCGGCAGTTTGGGCGGCTTACTACATACGATCCAACTACTCCGTAAACAGAACATTAACAGCCTATGAATTGGTTCATGACCTACTTGGCTCGGAAAAATCTAATAAGTCAACATGTACAACTATTCAGTTATCCATTATCTGATCATATTGAATAACGAGAAGCGAGATAGCACTGTAGAATTACGAAGTACTCCTTTTAATGAAGATGCGAAGCGACTCGCGGAGCTTCTTCATTGCATATGTCCGGTACCGAAAATACTCTTGATGTTAATCTAATATGCAAATAGATACATAAGAGTGCTTCTGAAAATCGGCGCTCTCTGTATGACTGCATTTCTCTGACCACCACCATCTTACCTCTCCTCATTCATACCTTTATTACCGCACTTTATTCTCACGCCCCCTCATGATTTATAACAGTCATTGGGTTGCACGGAGTATACCGAGTAGAATTCAGCTATGAAAGAGGGATTGCTACGAAGAGAAATATATATATGGCTGAACCCTAATTGTCCAATTCGCTATGAAACACCGATGCACTCGAAGGTAAGCAAGCACCTCTAATTGATTGATGAAGGTAGACGACGATGTCAGCGACGACGACAGCTTTTCGAGCACCATCCACCAAATACCCGACCTGCCTTTTTATGTTTTTCGGGAAGAGTAGCCAAATGCAGCTGTCTCCACAGAAATCTACAATTAGTTTGGCGCTGTGCTGTATGTATGTATGTATGTATGTATGTATGTATGCTACCCAAGCGAACAAGGTTGAACTAATTTACATAGGATAGCCGTTGAGCCGTTAAGAGACAAGACTCAAAAGTCCCTGGAACTGGAGTAGATCCGTAGCTCATCCTATTTTGATTGATAGCCAATCCCCGGGATGCTGTAAAAAGAATTCATGTTACGTTCTATCCCAACTCGTTAGATTGTGCAGTAGTACTGATGAAGTGACGAGGTAAGGAGTGGAAAATGAAAAATAAACAGGCATTGAGTAGTATAGATTGGTAACAATGATTTGCAAAAGAAAAGTAGAGATCTTTTTTTAAATAGAAACATTCAGGGCGGTTGGTTGGGTTGGTTAGTTGAAGGAATGCCCGGTAGTTTCATGGATCTCCATTGCACTCCCTCTACCTCTTGCCTCTTGAGCCTCTCTACTCTGTGCTCTCTACTCTGTGCTCCCTACTCTCTACTCATACATTCCATTCCATTCCCATACCTACCTTGGTAAATCCAATCGGTCTAATCCGGTCACAATACTTTTTATAATCCTCATCGCTCTCGTCCGTTGTTTGTTTGTTTGTTCCTTTTCGGCTACCATTGATGATAATGCTCATGATAATAATTTATTGATCGACTCCATATATAACCTTCTCTCCCTGTCTCCTTCGCTCCCTCCCTCCTCCCTCCTGACTCTCTCGCCCCCTCTCTCCCTCTAAAATAAGGTCCAACTGTCTTTTACCAGGATTAAATATAAACTCTTGTCGTACGCGCATCGACCCCAATATTGTATTCCCTTGCAGCTTTTTAACGTGTATGCGGGCACGGCGGGCTTTTCCATCCAATCAATCCCATTTCGATTCAAGGGAATCAAATCTTCCCTTTAAAACATTCTTTTACCACCATTACCATCTCTCCATCCACCATCAATTCATTCACTTATTGTTTGTTAAGGGGAAAAAAACACAACATTGTTTGTGCTTGTTGTTATCAATACCTACTTGTTATTTGATCCTTATTATTTATATAATATACCGACTTTTATGTATCTTCCGATCGAAAAGAAGATCCTCTCCAATTGTTTCAAATATTACCACACAAAGGATTATTAAATATCCTTTTCCCCTCTTTCCGCCAAATCCCTCCCAAGAACCATACCCTCAATTTACTATTTTATCGACCCACACTTCGTGACGATAAGCTTTGAAACGGAAACGAGTCTCGGTTTGAATACCCGCAGATTATTACGAGTACCTACCCAACATTGGAAACTGGAACTGGAAGTTGGAACAAATTGCCTTACCATCCTTACGAGAGTTCTCACAAAATTCCTTTTACCTAATAAATCTTTCTCTACCTACTACTCATCCAATTTATCCAACATCCAACCTAGCCAACTTTTCGAGAATTGGGATCAGTCACAAGACGGACCTCGGACCCATTTCGACCATATAAAAGCATTTCCTCGTTTGCGGCAACGGTCTCTTGCAGCGGTGGACTGCATGTCGATGCTAGATCAGTGCAATAGCATAAAGAACACCGGCAACGGTGTGACCCGAGATTCGGAACTTTAGACAACGGCAACGACTTCGAATCCTGCCGTGTCCGTTTCATTTTTACGCCGCAACCTTTCGACTATTCTGAGTGTAATATGAGTAGACAATACGAAGATCACACTACCGATTCGAAGACCTCGAGCAATCTCTCCCTCAACCCGTTACCCAACATGTCTTCTCCAGCTCCATTATTACGCCCTCCGATTCCAGGTAGTCGACAAAATGGCGGCGCGAGGACACCTAGGCTGGGCCTGGCCATACCACCTTCTCCTAATGCTAAGCCCGTCAATGCTCCTGCAACAAAAGGTCTCACACTTCAAATGCCTGGCTCGATGCCTGCACGACCGGCATTACCTCGATTACAACTAGCCACACCTATGGGAAGTAATGCTACACCATATGAACAATCTGGAAGGGGTGCAGTTGCACCAGGACAATCTGCAAGTGGAGGAAGCGAAAGTAGTGCGGCACATTCAAGATCAGGTAGCTTTGGGCCGATGGATGGGAAGGGAAGTGGTCCAACATCTGCAGGTTCCCAGTATTCTGCATTCTCATTAGCATCGCAATATGGTTTGAGCAAGCCGCAAGGTACACCCGACCCGTCATCAGCTGTAGGCTCATTATACTCGGAAAGGAGCGAGGGAGGTGTTGGCATGGAGCGGGATGGTAGCATGAATGGACTTGAAGCATTCGACAAACTCAGCTTAGAAAAAGGGAGAACATTAGACGTCGAAGATTTAGACGATGATGGATGGCGGATAGCAAGTATGGAGAAGAGGATTGAGGAACTCGGAAGCTTGGGAGAGGGTGCAGGAGGTGCAGTAACTCGATGTATGTTGAAGGGTGGAAAGACCGTCTTCGCGTTAAAGGTAATTTGCTATGCCTCACAATATTCTTTACGCCGCTTGCTGACTCTCTTAGATCATTACCACAAATCCCGATCCTGATGTCAAGAAACAAATCGTTCGTGAATTAGGTTTCAACAAGGGTTGTGCTAACGAACACATCTGTCGCTACTACGGAGCTTTCGTAGAACCATCGACGGCTACCATTTCCATTGCTATGGAATTTTGCGAAGGTGGTTCTCTCGACTCAATCTATCGTGAAGTAAAGAAACTTGGTGGTCGCACTGGTGAGAAGGTTCTCGGAAAGGTTGCCGAAGGTGTTCTAAACGGTTTGACCTATCTTCATGGGAAGAAGATCATTCACCGAGATATCAAACCTTCCAATATTCTCCTGTGTCGCGATGGTCAAGTAAAGCTATGCGATTTTGGTGTAAGTGGTGAGTTCGGTACAAAGGGTGACGCAAATACCTTCATTGGTACATCTTACTACATGGCGCCTGAACGTATTACTGGTCAATCATACACCATCACTTCCGATGTCTGGTCAACTGGTGTAACACTTTTGGAAGTAGCCCAACATCGCTTCCCATTCCCAGCAGATGGATCAGAAATGCAACCTCGTGCTGGATTGATCGACCTTCTAACATACATTGTTCGACAACCTATTCCAAAATTGAAGGACGAGCCTGATGCCGGCATCAAATGGAGTGACAGCTTCAAATACTTTATCGAGTGTTGGTATGTTCAGCCCTAGTTTATTTGAGTGAAAAAAAGTCATACTAACTTCAAATTAGTCTCGAGAAAGACCCTACTCGTCGTGCCTCACCTTGGCGAATGTTAGAACATCCATGGATGGTCGAGATGCGAGGCAAACGTGTGAACATGGCACACTTCTTAGCCACCGTATGGGGCTGGTGATCTAACTTCACGAATCATTCTACGACGTTATTATCGCAAAGTCTATCCGATATCACAGGATGGAATAGCAAACCAATGTAGACCAAATCTACTTGGCGACGAGAAAAAAAAAAGCTAAAGCACACCATGATGATACATTACATACAACGACCTTGAGCCCTGACGATAAGAGACGATTACGTTATTACATGAAATTCTACCAGATATGAGAAAGATCTACTCCTTAGTTTTATCATCATACCATCTACCTATACTTTCCCTTTGTATCAACCACCTCTCTTCACCTCGCAATCAACAATCATCTGCATTTAACGGCGTCGCCATGTTTTTCTTCCTCTTGAATCGGGTTTGGCGAAGCGGCTTCTTTTTTGGGTATAGGAGAAATGGTTTTGGGGAGCATCAAGAGTGAGCGAAACTGAGTGGTTGAAGGGGATGCAATTTGCGTATGCGAATGAGTAGCGACTGTTGAAGGCTTCTCGTTCCAATTGTACTACTTACATATTCTTAGCTATCTACCTACCCACCAAACTATCTATACATTTTATCTACACCAGAATCTTGTGAGGCATCACATAATGTGCTTGAATTTTTACAATGGCGATGCTGTAGTTGGAAAGTGAAAAAATTGGCTTAGTGATCGAGTGATCGAATTTATTAACTTCTCATTAGGTCTCTGTTTTGTATACCTGGAGATTTGGCACAAGATTTAAGGCTCATTTCATGATAAAATCCGTGCATACTTACAACACCATCAAAATCATTTTTATAGCCATCTTGGTGTCATATCAAGGGCACGGGATGCGCCTTCGAAGATTTGCTCTGTGGTGGTGAATTCGCAAGTCTCAACAAAAGTAGCCTCATTTCAGAACCAAGCCGAGTGTAATCATGTATCAATTCTCCGTATATGGCGAATGAAATCAGTCCTTAATCGACACTTGCTCGACGTGTAGATCCATGGCTTCACTATGATTGGCTGGCTTCAAAAATACCGAGGTTGAATAATCCTTGAACACATCCGAATTAGAGGGGTCTACAACCGAACAGACGGAGATATGAACATCACTATCAGCAAGAGGAATACACCACATTTTACTTATTCCATATACCAATTCATCATGTCACAAATAGATCTGATAGCAATCATTTTCCCCAAGGAGGAAAAAGCAGACAGAGTGAGCGTCGATCTCCCCCGACACATGCTCTGGTGACAACTAACCCCTATTCCTCACTAGGTTGCGGAACTCCTGAATGAAATCTCTACACATATCAAGGCAACGGAACCTGGGACATTGAAGTATGAGATTAAGAAAGAAGTCAACAAAAAGACGGGTGCTGTAGAAATCATTATGTTTGAGAGGTGAGTTTGACATCGTTGACGTCATCTGCTACATATGAGTTTATGAAGCTGATGGATAAAATTATAGCTACAAAGATAAGGCTGCAATCGCAGCACATGGATCTTCGGAGGAATTCAAAGCTTTTGGCAAGAAGTTGAAGAATGAGGATCTGATTGCCAAGCCCATGGAATTGAAGTTTTTGAAGCATGTTGGGGGATTTTCGTCGAGGTTGTGAACGCGAAGAGCTGCAGCATGAGAGACTTTGGTAACCGAATCTAAACTCTCGGATCTAGATTCTACGAGGGATATAGATACAATACAACCAATACAAAAACTTGGTTGATGGACTCAATCGATGTATAGACGTGTGAGAGTCACACGTGACATAGCAGTACCTTGTCATGGACCTTTCAAGAGAGATTTGAACGAGAATGTAAAGCAAGAAAGTGTATCACTTTTGGTCTCATTATTTCTATGATTGCCATTGATTTTCAGAATAATTGGAGGATTGTGGAATCTGAGATGTTACCAACTTACTTCGATCTGGCCACCAGTCGTGACTTCCCTTTTCATTTTCATCATCACAATCTTGATAACCGGACAACCTTACTTTGCAGATCCTTTTAAATTCATATATTTCAATGGGTGGGTTTTTTCCTCTCTCTCTAATACATCATACCCATTGAGTCTTCTTTCTTTCTTCGTTCTCCATCAACTCATCAAATCTCGCAATCATGGAGCATGAATGTGAGCAACAACATTTCACGCCCTTAGTTTTTACCTCTCACTCGGGAAAAGTATTCCAGGTGGAAATTGATGATATTGCACAATTGTCGCCGAAGCACGGCAGATCCAACAGTGTGGTATCAATCATTGAGTTGAGAACTTCATCTCCATCTCCAAAATTATCTGCCCTAGGAGGTTTTGATGGCCATGGATCCGAGACTCCACAACTTTCAAAGTATGTTCTCAGCTCAAAAATTCAATTGGAAGTTATGATGGCAAGATCAAAGCTTAGTTGACCCACGCAGACACTGATACGAACGGAAGGTGTACTTGATCTAGAACACACCATGCTAACAAGAATCTTTAGAGCCCTGCCTTCACACCAGCGGAAACGTTCCTCGTGCGGAGGCTCTCCTCTTATTTCCTTCACGACTTCTACACAGTCGTGTGAGAAAATGGGAAATTCGGGCATAAAATCATCGTCATCTCGCAAGAAGCAACCGGAAAATTCGTTGTGTGATGATTTCCAGGAGGGTGAGGAGTTCGATGTTTGCAAAGCTTATATGGTTTACAATGAATATGGCGAACTGGTTGATGCTCATAGCCATCTTCAAACCAAAAACACCCAAGACTTGTCAGTCACAGAAATATTGAGATTGATCAAAAGAGCATACCACCATGATGTTAGTTCTTCTCGTCATCCTTGAATGTCTCGAGACTTGCGCTCCGCTTTGCTAGAGGGAATTTGGAACTTTATGCTGACTTCGCATTCAATAGTTCAGATCGAGAATGAACGATATCGAACAGATCAAGGGCCAAAGCTCACTGAGCTCAGAAAAGGGCAACTTAACATCTGAGGAAAAATTGTCATATTGGGAATACAACCCGAGCTCATCGACGAAGACTACACCGGTCAGTGGGGAGCTGCAGTCTCGGTCTGTTCCTGTTTACCAAGGTCCTCCTCGGGTTTTGGAGGTATGTCTTCTCTACTGTACATTGAAATCGTGCTAAATACGATAGATTGGGTGTAGCGATGGGAGTTGGTGTTTCAAAGTTAAGGAAGACCAACCAGATTGGACTGTGGAGGGAATTGATGAGACAGACCACTGGTCTTGTGTGCAAAGAGACATTCAACTTAAGTATGATGATTATCCTCGTTTGTGATTAACGTGCTAATTAATTCATAGGGATTTTATTGTTCCGACTCCCGAAATGGACATGTCCGATTATTTCAGCCGTGTCAATTCTTCACAAACCCAAACCGCCCCTGCCTTTAATGTTCGAAACCTCAATTGTCTACTGGTGCACGCAGATCCTATTCCACATAATCTATACTCCTTTATCCGTGGAAGAGATGTCTTCGACAGAGTTGAGAGTTACAAGAGCTTTTTGGATGATGTTCGCTTGTGAGTAAATCCCCAAGACTTACTAGGTATCACGACTAACGGCGAATAGAATTCTACAACCTGGTGGAGTTGTGGAATTTTTGGAAGTTGACCCTAGACCGAGATCAAAATTGGCAGGTCATACTACTGTGAATCGTGAGGAATATCACCAGAGCGTACCCCAAACTGACTGGACTGATAATATTGCCGATCGCCTCAAGCGACCATCTTACGATAGTGAACTTGCAGATACAGTTCCCGGTTGGATGGAAAGAGTCATGGAACGCCATAAAGCAATATTGCGTCCACGTGATGGAATTCCTGCCGTCAATCTGAAGTCTTGGCTAGAAGGGGCAGGGTAAGCTAATGAATAGGCACTCTGTCTCATCGTAGAAGAAGCTAACGGTACATAGATTCTGGGATGTCAAAGAGATTGTTCATCGACTACCTGTAGGAGGATCTGCAACTACCGGTCAGCGTCTGAAGGACTTCATCCTATACCAGATTGAGCTCGAGAATGACATACCTCAGGTATTCTTTTCCTAATAATTTCGAATCTCTCAGCTAACTAAATGTAGCTTCGTGAGAGGTTGTTACCTGTTGAGATTGAGGAGATTGAGAGTGGCAATCACTACCTCACCTTGCACATCGTAACGGCACGTAAGCCGCGCTGCCCCGAGCTGGCGACCTTCTCATGAATGGCACCAGAGAGGAAATGACGGATATGAAATATGATCAGATGGCTAGAGTCAATGAATTGCCAGTGAAGAACCAAGCAGGTTGGAAAAGGTTATTCCAGTACAGAAGTAGCCTCTTATCTCACACCTGCTAATTTGTTCGCGTCTTGATAGATTCGATCTCGGTCGCATTTCCGAAATGATGACATCATTCGATGAACATCACCCTGGAAACATCTCACTCTCATCACCACTCTCTCAATTAAGAGATGGGGCTTGATGTAAGTCAGAGTGAAGGCGGTATTATGATGAAGCCAGGAGAAAGGATAGAGGTTGAATGATGACATGGCTAGAGTGAGTGTATGGTTTATCTCAATGGCTAGATTATATAAACTATGAGCATTATACCGCAGGGTGTTTGCTTCCATGATGTACAATTGCAATCAGACATTTGCAAACTATAGCTCTTGATATTTGGCCATTCAATGAAAGAAGTACTGGTTTCGACTAAAGATCAGCGACCGGCCATATAATCCTTAAAATGTAGTTCAATTGCTAATTTTGTGATACATAATCTGGAACTTTATAGAAAAGATATGCAACCCCCGCAGGAGACAGGACAGTAATCACTTAGTTTTCGGAGACCGGATCAAGCCCCTGCATCTGAACGACATTAGGAATCAACAATGCAGATTTCCCTAATATGAAGGGAATTTGCCGTTCTCCTTTTGAAAGAACTTGCTTGACAGCAATGAGGAGCTTACCGCTTAAGCGAAGCCCCCACGCTGTATTTGGTAAGAAAGCATCACGACTTTCGTGAAATAAACTAGGAAAGCTTAGTATGACAACAAGGTATTGTTATTTTCTTGGGCGGGAGAGAAACTATCAGGCATTATCCGGCGAAGGTGATGATGTATAATTAACGCTCTGCTATTGACGTTTGATGTACCTGTGGACCATAGTCGAAATTAACCTCTAAATGCAATGAAAGCCCTCATAAATTAAAAAAAAAAATATCCTGGTATATTGAGGGATTAACATTACAGTTTCTGGTTGATTACCTTTAAAATTACAATCTACGGTGTGCAACTGCAGCTCCTAACAGATTCGGAGAGCAACGATGATGTATCTTCATAAACAGAAAGGAAGTAATTGTTGCATGTTGACAATGAAAAAATCGTAACAAAGAAACAAAGATATCCCACGTCGAATCTTGCAGTAGGAACTGACGGAGGTTTCCACGCTGAGACGTAAGAATGTCGATATCAAGTATTTTGTCATTGGTTTTAAGCTGCCGTTGCTTGTTCGGTTGAAATGAGAATGTGGAGATATCCTTCTGACAAAAAAGGGAAGGGGGTTGTACTTGGAATATTCTTTCAAAATCTGGATTCCACCGTTTCAAGACGTTTGATATTCTACATGTGTACTCCGTACAAAGAAGAGGTGTGAAGATAAGCAGGGAGGAATTATCCTTTGGACTTTGCATTGAACGTATAAGTGTATAAGTGTATGAGTGTTCTGTCTGCTTATGATATTATCATCCAGTTGAGGAAAAGCTATAGTCTTACGTGTACTTCGACACTAATCTCCCCAGTCGATCCCTCCTTTTGATATCCCAACAACACAAATATTTAATAATCAACAAACGAATTTTTGGAAAGAAATATGTTTGTTCAATGGCGATTCAAATGCGGAAGAAAATGTGAAGCCCGACAGTTGAATATCGTGTCTACTTGACTTATCTCGCGGGGTGAAATCCGAATCGCACTGATACAAACCCTAAGAGGAAGTGACTGTCCTCTGAACCTGCCCACCATGGATTCACGTACTATCTGTTCGCCATTTCTGAGAAGTTGCGATCATGCAGGTCCCATCGAAACACTTGCTTGTCGTAAGGACTCCCGAATAGACTTGATCGATATCTGTCAATACTGTAACGCTTTCCATATGTCATCCGAGGAGTGTGGAAACATACCGATTAAGATGAGTGAAGCCCTCTCAAATTACACGGTACCCACGTTGCCGAAGGTACCGATGTATCTAGATACAATACAGGAAATCGACACCGAAAGTTCGACGATGGTGACGCAGACCTTGGCTTTCGATGGCTTTGATGGGACTCGGGAAAAAGATGACCAGACTTATGGTCTTGCTCAACTTCCGACATCAGGGAAGAAGATTCCATCGAGACAAGTTCCAGCAGGAACTCAGATGTGTAAGATAAAAAAAAAACTTCTGTGTTTTAGCTTTTACGTGAGATATAGTGCTAATATTATGGTAGCTCCACTCCATCAATTTTTGACCTCTCCTTTCAATTCGATGCCGTTATCTCCAACATTTTCGGACTCCTCAGGGCAGTCTCTTTTGTTCGGCGTATCGAAGATATCAGTGTTGTCGAATCCTCCACGTGAAGATGGAGATGACTACCGTCTTGAAAAGTCAGACTTCATACGCAAGGAATTGAGGAAGCCGGTATTTCCTGTTAATGAGATACGCACGCTGGAAAGTCTGATCGATGACCTACTCGATGAAGGACCATCTCTCGAATTTGAGGTTATCACTTATGCCCGGTTGGACAAGATAGTCGAGGAGATTTTGCAACACGTGAGGAACAATTTTCTCAGTCAAGGACCTTCATTCAAGCAGATTATGAGAAAAGCACAAAAGCTTCGCGAACAATGGATTGAAACCTTCGGAGACAGATTTCATACCATGGATGATGAGCGATTGAAGTTCATGAAGAAATCTGGCTGTCTTCGGGACATAGAGCTACAGACCACTTCTGAGATATCCAAATTAGATGGTCCTGCGTGGAAAGTAAGAAGGGCCGCAACATTTTCAGAGAAGGAAGCCAATGAGAATTTCGAGCCAGGAGCGTAAGTTTGAAGTTCCCCGTGTTTCTCAATGACCCTCAATGCACAAAAGCCTCTCAATGTACAAGAGCCTCTCAATATACAAATGCTAACCAGACAATGAGCAGTTGGTTTCTTAACACCCATTGTGCTGTTCGGGATGGGATCGTGCCTGACGCAAAGGACGGCTTTACTTGGGGAGTGAATGGCAAACCAGTTGCATTTTCTATGCTTTCTGGGTTTGAAATTAAAGGTTGCGGAACGAGACAATGGGTACACATCATCGAATCGAGAGTCTGCGCATATCACGCTCGTCGGCTCATGTGTGTCGGGAATGTGATCAGACTTCTGCGGGGCCACAAATTGAAAAGTGAAAGGGCACCCAGACTCGGTGTTAGATATGACGGCCTGTAAGTAAATCTACCCGTCACTTATCGCTTGATACATATGCTGATCTGTATAGCTATAAGATCGAAAGTTGGGGTCAAGCCCTCTTGAAGCTGTCAGCGGGACCTGACATCTATCGTAACACTATAACCCTAGTGGAACTCTCAGGACAACACACAATGGAAGACCTGGATGCAATTCCAACTCCGTGGCAGATGGACAACTTCATGATTTACAAGAAGATGATTGAGAATGATATCAAGGCACGCGAAGGTGAAGCTACTTACAAAGAATATAAGTCTTCGGAGGGCAAAAAAGAAGCGGCTCAAAAGGCTTTTGTTTCAAAATTGAAGTCTTACGACCAGCCTGCATATAAATTACTCGACTGTACGACTCACAGACTGGAGAATGCATTTCCGCTTCCACTATCATTCGAAGCATAACCAACACACCATCTTAAGTATGCTTAGTTTGAGGATACATACAAGGTGGAGAGCCAAAACGATGTTGTGATGAGCATGATAAGAACGGATTTTGGAGGAGGCCGGGAGAGAGCGAGGTCCTCTATGATTATAACCTATGATACATAATCTAATATAACGAATTGACAAATCAAGATAGATATGAAGGCCTCCGTGCTAGTGATCTCAACAGCATTCTGTTCTCACCTGCTCAGGTAGATTATGCATTTCAACAATGGAACCATCTTGGACATCGGAAGAGCATTTGACGGTATTTGATCTTGACCTGCCTATACGGAGAAGAAAAAAGATTGGGATTGATCACTGGTGAAACTCTTCAACCATCCAATTGTTCCACTTCAATTCAGAGAATTAAAAGATTAAATAGTATTACAACTATGGATTATCTTGAGGATTTATTTCACACTACTGACCCTCATAAATTTATTTGTAGTTGATTTATTACAGAATTTATTATTAAGGTGATCAATTTTGGCATCTTTTCCCTCCCTCCTACATGTAGCCTGCATAAGTTACGGGATTGGCTGGTTGCCGTAGTTAGTGCGAAATGAAATCACGTGCAAATATACCTGGAGGAAAATCTCAATTCATTTTCAGTCTTCACTCCTGACCTCACCTTCCCGTCGGAACCTTCCCAATTTAATAATCTGAGGTTCTTTCCAATTGAAGATTTTGGGCTAGCAAGTGAATTTCATCGACAAATATGGCTAGCTTAGAAAGCAACGAACAAGGTTCGTCACCTCGCAAGAGGCAGAAGCTCGATTCTTCTTTAGCTACCCCAGACTCTACAACTTCTTCTTCTCAATTGAATATCGCAACCAGCTCAAATCCAAACGCAAATTCAAGCGACAAAATGGAGATTGATCCTTCAGGCCAAAGTTTGGTTTCTGAAGTTCCATTATCTTCCCGACCTGAACATGCTCAAGAAGTTCGATCTGGAATTCTCCATTATGTCAACAAGAAAAACCCTGGGTTTCAAGGTATATTGAAGCAGAGGTATGTTTGTCTGTCTTTCCTTCCCCTAGTTTGAGGCGATATTCGTCACTGCGGTTCAAGGTGGTTGCTTTTACAATTCTGTTATTTGCCCTTTCACAAACTATCTCGTTTACCTTTCAAAGTCCGTTTGAGATGTCCAATTACCTTTATTTCGCTTTTCATTGCGATCAAACGGATTGTAGTTATTGCCAATATGGCTATACAATCCTATTGATATTGTAAATTTATTTTCATTTTGAACTCTAGTTAATTATGATGCATTAGATATACGGATTTCCTGGTCAACGAAATTTCTTTAGGAGGCGAGGTTGTTCACCTTAGAAATATTAAAGCTCCCCAGAACAACCAGCGCGGAGTGAGTTACTACCCCACAAGATATCTTAGATCAATCTACCCTTCTCTAGCAGAACTTGAAACTAATGGTTGTGAACAGAATGCAGCAAATGCCATTACTGTTTCAACAGAGACTGGTAAAGAGAACCAGCCAACAGCAGAAGGTTCGGAGCAGACTAAATCAGTACAACCTATTTCTACTGGCTCTGCTGCAGCTGAAGTTGCGACTCCCGCAGATGTCACAAACAACAGTGATTCTGTGGCTCCAAGCACTTCAGTTACTGCAGTTAGTAGCGATGTTACTGCACAGCCATCAGCTGAAGAACCAAATGTCGTCAATATCAAAGAAATTCGAGCCAACGATATGGAAATTCTTGTTGAATACTTTGGCGACGCTTTGGCACTCCAGATTATCGAGTTGGATAAAAAGATACAGCAGAAGCCCAATGCCAAAGCTGCTACATTTGGCTCCCTAAAATCAGAACCAATTGACGACAGACCCCGCCGTGGACGCATTCATGGCTTTGTGCGTGCGCGTTTTGAGTCGCGTCTGGAGACTGAGGCTTTGGATGATAATTCTATCAGTATCTTCGCGGCTGCTCCGCAGCAGCAACAACGTGGCAGAGGACAAAACCAGCGCGGTAGAGGACAAAACAATGCCGGTCGTGGCAACTTTCGAGGCCAACCAAATGGCCAGCCCAAACCAAAGGGAAAAGTTGGATGGGAAGAACTTGGTGGTGAATACCTTCACTTCACGCTTTATAAGGAAAACAAGGACACCATGGAGACTATTAACTTGCTGTCTAAGCTGACTAGGACTGGCGCCAAAGACTTTGCCTACGCAGGTACTAAAGATCGTCGTGCAGCCACCTCACAGCGTGTTAGTGCTTTTCGACACCATGTCACAAGCATGGCTGATCTCAACAAGACGTTAAGAAATCGGTGCAGAGTTGGCGACTTTAAGTATGAAAAGTATCCACTCAGACTGGGCGATCTCGAGGGTAACGTTTTTACCATCACACTGCGCGATTGCCATTTCGGAGACGATACTGATATGGACGATGCTACAAAGGTTCAATCGGCAGAAAAAGTTGTTGGTGATGCTATTAAAAACCTGCAAACCCGCGGTTTTCTCAACTACTTTGGCTTGCAACGTTTTGGTACCTTTGCAATCGGTACACATGAAATCGGCAAACTGATTTTGAAAGGTAACTTCAAGGGTGCTGTCGATTCTTTGCTCGCGTTTAACGATGATGCACTTGCAGCAGCCCAGTCAGGTCAAGATAGCAGCACCATTGGTAGAGATGATATGGCGCGTGCCCTTGCTATTCATAAATTCCGGGAAACCGGCAGAAATTCCAGTGGTAGGGACTCACTTCCACCAAGATTTTCTGCAGAGCGAGCTGTCATTCAACACATGTCTTCTGAGCGCAAGCGCAACGATTATGCGGGTGCTATACTCTCAATTTCACGTCACCTTCGTACTATGTATGTGCATTCATACCAATCTTTCATTTGGAATACCGTGGCCTCCAGAAGATGGGAACGTTATGGAGATAAAGTTATTGAGGGCGATCTTGTTTTAGTAGAGAGCAAAGCTCCGGAACAAAAAGATGAAGTTGATGAAAATGGAGAAATTGTGATTCACGCATCTGGAGGGGACGCCGCACTTACTTCCGATGAAGTGTTCCAGCGTGCACGCTGTCTTTCGGCCAAAGAAGCTGACAGTGGAGCCTTTACCATATTCGATATTGTCCTTCCTATGCCAGGTTATGACATCGAATACCCCAATAACGAGATTGGAGACTTTTACAAGGAGTTCATGGCTAGCGAGCAGGGTGGTGGTCTGGATCCTGCGGATATGCGTCGAAAGATCAAGGACTTTAGTCTTAGTGGTAGCTATAGACACCTTATTGGCCGAGTTAAGGAGGGCATGAGTTTCGAAGTCAGAACTTATCACGATGAAACCGAACAGCTAGTCGAGACTGACTTGGAGATCATCGAGAAGAACAATCCTCAAGATCATGAGCCTTCCCATATTCAAACAACACACGTCTACGCTAGGAGAGAAGGCGACCCACACGGCTTTGCAAACTTCCAAGAGAATAACCGTCATCAGAATGATAATCAACAGGAGAACGGACATCGAGATAATGGCGCTCAGCACAACCAAGGTGGAAGACAACAAGGTGGACGTGCTCGTCACATGGCCGATGCTGCAGAACAAGATCGTCAGAATCATGCTGTCTATGGTGGTAGTGCTCAGCATAATGCTTGGAAAGCACTACCCAGCAAACTTGCCGAAGAAGATAAAGCTGCAGCTGAAGCATGGGAGGTAGAAAAATTGAAGCCTGTCAATGTGGATGCTATCAAGCAACCAATCTATAATGAAACATTCATTCAAACTTCTGCGGATGATGAGGGTCGTCGCACTGGAGTCAGAACTCAACAAACCCTCGGTTCGAAGAACGAGCTTATTGAAGCAAACGTCTTGAATAACAGAGTGCCAGACTTCGAGAAAAATTCAAAGGTTCAGGTCACTCAAACTCCATTGTCCGAATCTGACGATGACACTGAGACTCAAGAGGGAGGCGTCAAACTTGAAGTCTCGGCTGGTATCAAAAGACCTGCCGAGGAGATCTCGAAGGGACCTGTTGGCGAAAGCAAGAAAGATCAAGTTGTCATAAAAGTTGTGGAAGTTGAAGATAAGAAGGACGGCAACTCCGCTGAAGTTTCTACTGAGATCAAAGAAGATAGCAAATCATCCGAATTACCTCAGCCAGCATCCACTGACACTGAAATGGCAACCCTACCAGCTGTGGAGGAAGTTGTCGAGGAAGCAAGACCTGCTCGACTTGCAGTCATTGTCAAATTTGGTCTCGGCTCAAGTATGTATGCTACAATGGCTCTTCGGGAGTTGATGCAGCAAGGAGGCGTCCAGGTCTACCAACCAGACTTCTCTTCCGGCAGATAGTCTTTTTACTTGTGTTGAAGCGATTGTTACGTAGTTAGAGGTGGAGTTTGTGGCAAAAATTTCTGTGGTCAGATCTGGTATGATTTGTTGCTCATCGAATAGATAGATTTATTCTATGATGCATATGAAAAACATGGTCTTAGAAATACTGAGCAATGATTTGTTGGTAAATAGACTCTATATCTCTGAATGAGGTATGAATAAAAGTACATATGTTAAGAATGAAAATCATGAAACAGTACCTTAATGTAAATTTTGACGTGAATGATGATTCTTCCCCCCCCCCCCTTCCCCCTTTTCTATTTTACAATCGCTTGTCATGCCTCGATAATACAAAGAGGTGTGGGTGTTCATTATGCTTCACACTATCTATTTCATATATCGAGCTCGTGTGATTTCGACAGCTCGATCATAAAATTTGACATTGCATGACCGACCCCAACCCAGGCCTTATTTTAACAGTCTGTGAGGACCTAGAGCATCCGACACATGATGTCCAACTCTCTAAGTTAGGCATTGTATTGCCGTGTTGTGTGGTTAAGGATGATCTAAAAAGCTTCTGGGATGATATCCAAGGACACCAAATGAGGTATTGTTTGTTCCATCCCGATTTTTAGATGCCGTACAGTTTGAACTTGCATCTACGTCTCCTATCATCTCTAGATATCTGACAAAGTACAAGACAAAGTCTAGATCTCTTCTATCTCTAAATCTTCAAAACAATCATACAATACAATACAATTTACACCTGTCCACTGACCCGTTCCCCAAACACCGAGTAGAAGTTAGACTGCGTAACATGGCTTTTCCTTCCCGTTTTCTCATCAAAAATATGGCAGCCCTCTCGCGCCGCATTCGGAGGTGTGTAGAGATGTAAACTCACAGCCACGTTCTCGGGATCGGGATTGGATATTCTGTGGAGGCCAAGATCGTCGGACATGTAGGTTACTTGGTTCGTGGTGTAGGTTGTGGTTTTTATTATTGTGGGGGGAGTGTTGAAAGGCTGGGATGCGGATGGGGAAAATGTGGAGGAAGTGGAGGTGGATGGGAATGTGTATTGGGTTTCGGAGAGAGTTCCCGAGAGGACTTTCATGAGACAATGCGCATCTGCGTGGTCGTGGAGGGGCGAGCCTTTTCCTGGACTCCAGACGAGAATTAACTAGACAGAGATTTATGATTAGTTTGGCAGAATCAAGAGCGAGAGCGAGAGGGGTAGGAGCCCAGTACCAAATTACTCTTCCCGTTCCCTTCATCTACCAAATTTCTCGTGTAGCCTCTGCTTAAATCTGCAAATGCGTATTTTCGCCATTCGTCTTCGTTGGAGATGTATCGTTCCATTAAGGAGCGAAGCTGTTGCACATCTACGTCCGCGGACGTGAGGCCGGAGGATGGCCCGAGAATTTGGGAGAGGTCTGCGACGAGTTGATGGAAGGAGTCGGGGGGTGAGGAGGTTTTGTTGGATGAGAGAGAGGTTGAACATGCGCCGGTAGCATCGAGAGCTATGGATGGAGTCATTTTGGGTATTTAGTGAAGTATTGAAGGGAATGTCTAGTGGGATAGGTAATTTTTCTAGGGGGCGAGATCTTTCGAACGAAATGTATGAACTCTATGTGAATATGATACAAGCAAGCGTGACGGTGTTGAAAGAAGAGGAAACCGTTTTTACAACTATAATAAGTACATGAAACAAATAAAATAATATCCTATAAAAACGACTAAATGATTGTATGTACGAAAAATTAAAAATATAAAAAAAAACATTCTTCACAGAAAATTGCAAGTGAAGTCAAACTTTTGATCACATCATCGGACTTTCTTTCCGAGGTCCTAGCAAGCATATCAAATGCCCCTCCATTCACATTCGGTTAGCCTATATCAATGATATCAAAAAGTGACGCTCCGCTGACAACATCCAGCTTCAGACAATCAGCTCTTCATCGCAACAAAATAAAAATCCGGTATCCTGCATCGCCCAACCTATCAACATGCCACCAGCCAAGAAAGCCGCCGGGAAAGGAGGAAAAGGAAAGGGAAACGATGCGGGCGATGCGAAAGAAACGAAAGTTAAAGGAGCCCAGCAAATTAATGTTCGACATATACTTGTGCGTCACCTGATCTTTGAATCCTTCCTTTGTGATTAAAAGTGATCAGCGGATGGGATGTTGATATGCATACCTACAATAGTGCTCCAAACATAGTAAAATGACGGAAGCTCTCCAGAAATTAGAGGCGGGCGCAAGCTTTGATAGTGTGGCTCGGGAGATGTCTGAAGATAAGGCGAGAGCTGGTAGGTTTTTCCCTTGTTTGCTAGGTCACTTTTGTAGATATTTCCTTCGAATGAGGGAGAAATTCAGGCAGAGAAGCTGACAAGGAGGTTTATTTTAGGAGGAGCATTGGGATGGAAGGGGAGGGGAGATTTAGATGCTGAGTTTGAGAAAGTGGCTTTTGAGATGGAAGCCAGTACTACGGCGAAGCCAAAGTATAGAGAAGTGAAGACGGGCTTTGGCTATCATATTCTTATGGTTGAAGGGAGGAAGTAGGAAAGAGCAGTTTAATAGAGTGAACAGATGTTGGAAGCGGGTTTAAAGATGAGAAAGACTTTGGTGAATGGGATGCGCGTTGTAAGGGGGTGATGATATTACTAGCTGAAGGGTGTTGGGCGTTGTTTGCGGTATCTCAATGGAGTGCATGAAAAGGTTCTAGATGAGTCCATGGATAGGGCTGAGAACCTAGCTTGCTTTAGATAGAATTAATAATGTTTTTTCTTTTCACAAACGGCAGAAGCACAAGTCAAAAGATGCGGCGCGATCGGTAGAAGGCTATAAAATAGGCCATTGAAGATGCATGTTCACGTGTGTTCACTGTGCGAAAAAGGACGAAATTTTGATGCTCCATAGCCAATGTCATTGCCACCAGTAATCCACGCTATGTGTGTGTAAATCCGAATGATACAATGTATGTCCGCTGTAGAAACTCCATCTCCGTGGCGTATTTATTGCTCGGTTTGGAAGTAGTTGAGGAGCATGGTGCGCTCTTGAGACTCCTCACCCCAATCCTTAACGACAACGCAGGAGCAGTTGACAACCTTGCGTGCGTTACCCTCACGGTCCAAAACACCTAGATATTTGTCAGTTATAGCCCCAGGTAATTGTATACCAGATATACTTACACAAACCAGCCCACTCGCCCAATTGCTTTCCGTCTGGAACCTTGATCAAAGGGATCTTGTGCTCGGAGCAGAGAGCAACGACCAACTTCTTGTATGCTTCCTCCTCACATGCCTCGTTGAGAACACACATGTGTGCTTGGCGACGGTCGAGAGCCTTGGAGGCTTCACGGAGACCTCTGGCGAGACCATCGTGCATAAGTGCGAGCTTGAGGACACCCTTCAATGCGTCGATAACGGACATTTGTCCCTTGGATGCATCTCCGGAAACTTCGACCTCATCGGCCTCGGCGACAATTGGGGAGGTTGGCTCTTCTACGTCAGACTATGAGGGGATGATTGTTAGCGACGATTACTTCATGTAAAAACCCATCTCATTGAGTTTCGTATTTTGGTGGGGGGATATATCCCAGATATGCGACTTCATTGCGCCAATGGCGCATGTAATCGATGAACCTTTTCGACCAAAAAATAACAAAAATTCAACTTACCATCTTGATTGTGATGATATCTTTAGGTCCTCGAAGAGTAGGTTGATATATTTGTATTTTAATGTATGGAGAAAATTAGCTTCAGAATCTTGTGTTGTAATTATTCTGCGTTTAGCGAGACCCTAGCACAGGCGACCAATTAGGTAATCACGAAAGTTCCCACAATGAATTTTAAAATTCTCCATAGTAAATTTTGATTGAAAACTCACGATCTTGAAATTTATTCCGAACTCCCTCCTCACGACAACTTCAACGCCCATTCTATAACGAGGTGTGTAAATACTGCTACGATGGCAATTCTTTCAGAAAGTCCTTCATGATTGACAAAGAGGAGCAAATCGATCATCTACTCAACTGTAATTGTGGTGTTCTTTGGTTTTGATAATTGATAAGCTTCGGCCTATTTTGTTTATCACCATGAATCCATAGCAGTTGAAAGATATCGACACTACTCACTCTATCATTCGACACGAGCTTTAGAACCCTCTTGTCAATCATGAGGGCACTCTTTATGCTTAAGAAATCTTGAAGGCTAACATATCGACCCTGCAGATACCTCATCTTTGATCAAGCAGATTATTTGAGAATCTCTATCCGTCAAAATGGTTAAGACTTCAGTTCTCAACGATGCGCTCAACGCCATCAACAACGCCGAGAAGGCCGGAAAGCGTCAAGTTCTCATCCGCCCATCCTCCAAGGTCATCGTCAAGTTCCTCGGTGTCATGCAAAAGCACGGTATGTCGACAAATCTTTCTTCTTATTCCTTCATTCGGCATGATAACTAGATAATGATCTCAACTCCACACGATCAAAGTCCTTTAAGTTGCCGATATATCAAACTGCGCGGATCTTACACGTTCTCTGATTATTATTTATGAAGTTATATGTTTAATCTTTCGCAACATACTAATGTCTCTCTTTAGGCTACATTGGAGAATTCGAGGAGGTTGATGACCACCGTTCCGGAAAGATCGTTGTTCAATTGAACGGCCGGTAAGCAACAACTTCCACCCTACTCTTGAGAACACATTACTAATTGTATGATGTAGTCTTAACAAGACCGGTGTTATCTCCCCAAGATACAACGTCAAGATTGAGGATTTCGAGAAGTGGGTTGTCAAGCTTTTGCCATCCCGTCAATTCGGACACATCGTCCTCACCACCTCCGCTGGTATCATGGACCACGAAGAGGCTAGACGCAAGCACGTTGCCGGAAAGGTCCTCGGTTTCTTCTACTAGACGAAAAATACCAAAAAGGAACACAGATTATCATGAGAAACGTAGCCATCTAGGGGACCCAGCTTCCGGGGTTGGAGTAATATCTAGAACAGGTCGCTGAATATACCCATTTCGTTCTTGCTTTACGCATGGTTCGAATTCTTCATCTGAAGAATAGATAGGTCTATTACCAAAAGTCAACATAATCTCATGATTTCATAATTTTTGTTCTCCAATCGTGCAAAGTGATATTTATTTGTTTTCGTGATGTTCTAGCTTGATCTACACAAACGACACTTCACATTGGCGAAGTTACGCCATTCGATTAAGCAACAGGCAATTCAGGCGGCATAATCTAGAGCGCGCGTATAGCGCTACTGTCAGCTTATCGTAGTATGTTACATCGGCATTGAGCAAATATGTTGTAGGATCCATCTATGAGAACTCCTGAATGTGTAGACCCAAGATGCATGTTCGTGGCGTAAACATCAATATTACCTTATCCTTAGCTTTGTTTGGCTCAAACACCGAAGATGTTCTTATCTACCTACCTATGCATACAAATCCTTGGAAAATACATCGAGACATAGAAAGTGAATGAAGGAATGCATCACGCCATATCATGGCCTACTTTACTACATCACAAAATGCATTATACCTGGTTTCGAGCGTCCTTGACTCCTGGTAGAACCACAACAAAATACTTCCAAGGTTTCAATCCCGATAGTGAGCGAGCTTTCGTTGGATCGGATTCGCTCAGAATCTCAGACATAACTCCTTTTTGCACAATCGTTCATAACACGAAAAAGGAGTACCATGGACTGTATAATGTGGCGAAATTAACATAACTTTTTCCCAGAAATGGCCAGAAATGGAAGAATGGAACGTTGGCTCGGGGTTATTTATCTACTAGGTAGTGGGAGCTTCGAGTATGGTTCATATGGTAGCATTGTGGTTGTGGCCAGAACATCGGAAGGAATCCCCACTACAACCAGCAACTTTAGGACGAAAGTATTATAAGAAAATACTCGTAAATCACCAGCAATTCAATTCAGCCATAGAAGAGAAAAATATCTTGCGAAAACTTTCAATTCGTCGCCACTACTCACACGCACGCGACAAACAGTTATAATTTATACTGTATTTCCCTTTTGTTTTAATCATATTCGTATACGACTTTATCCACTCCACTCATATGCGCGTCTCGTCGGCAGGAAGGCCGCATTCGTTGTGCAAGGATAAATTAACAATTATCCAAAGAACAAGGGGGTCTCACGAGCACCCGAAAGTCGTAGTAAAGAGTACAAAGAGTCTGCTTCTGGCCCAACCGTTACTATGGCTGGACAAACTCGTCGTAGGAGCTCAAGTGCGGCATTTCAACATCGCGCTGAACAAGTGCACTTTGTTCCATTCGATGGGCATGATGAGACAAGAAGACCTTCTCTCAGCGCAATGATAATGAAGACGCGGCGGAAAATGAAGTCTCGCCAATTTCTACTGCTGATTTGTATTCTTACCTTGGCTACATTCTCGATATTCTACCTGCGAGCGCCTTTTCCATATCATTCGACTTCTTTCCCATCCTCTAATCAGGAACCGAAACAGCCAAGCATACCCAATCGAATATCTACTTCCATTGATGATGTCAAGAAACCGCAAGAAGCTTCATATCATATTGGTCCTTCGCATCCAATTTACCAATTAATCAAGGATAATGAGCAAGCATTCGAGAATACAAAAGCGAAACAATCGAAGACATTGGAGGAAGCGGTGGCAGAATATAGAAAACGATATGGGATACCTCCGCCCCCTAATTTCGACAAATGGTATAATTTCGCGAAGTCTAAAGGTGTAAAACTCATCGATGAATATGACAACATACATACATCCTTAACGCCGTTTTGGGGTTTAAAACCGGAAACAATTAGAGGGAGAGCACGAGAGGCATTGGGGTTTCCTAACAATCTCATAGGATTGTTAATCAGAGGAGGGAAGGTTACAAAGATCGAGGGAGGGAATCAATGGCAACAAGACGCTACGGTAGGAATGATGAAGCCATTTTTGAAGTACCTCCCTGACATGGATCTTTGCTTCAACATTCACGATGAACCTCGTGTGGTTGTGCCATATGAAGATTTGGCCCGGCTAGTACATGTTGCAAAAGATCAGAATATGCCGAATGCGAATTCTGTCGAAGCACCCAGAAACTCATGGTCTCCTAGACCGATTGATATCGCTAGCGACGGCCTGCGGGTTCCGGAAGTGAAGACTACACGATTCAACGTTTTTTCTCATCAGCCAACTTGGACCCATTCAAGGATGTCTTGCCCTCCAGATAGTGCCGCGAGGAGTCTCAACGATGGACTAAAAGAGGACAATTACGGTAGTTATGCCGTGACGGAGCTGGGATTTGTGTATAACCAAACTGCGTTCTCAGATATTTGCCAATCCCCTTCTTTTAGCGAATCCTTCGGATTTTTCGATCGCCCCAACGCCTTTAATATCGTGCATGACTTGTTCCCGATTTTCTCTCAATCAAAGATCTCGTCGTTCTCCGATATATTATATCCATCTCCTTGGTACTGGTATGGCAAGGTACCATATGAGGAAGCTGAAGACATGGCATGGAAGGATAAGAAAGACAAAATATACTGGAGAGGTTCGACAACCGGAGGCTTTAGTCGAGATGGTGGCTGGAGACGGCAACACAGGCAAAAAGTGGTACAAAAAGTCAACGCTGGCGATCAAGCAAAGATTTTGGTCAATCGAGGCGAAGAGACAAAGGAAGATTGGCAGGTGAAGAGTGTACCACGAAGTGATTTCAAGGAAATTTTTGACATCTTCTTTTCCCACGTTGGGCAATGCGATCCTGGGGATTGCGAAGCTCAAAAGAATTTCTTTGATGTTAAGGAGGCGGCGAAGCAACAAGATGCATGGAAGTATAAGTATCTGCTTGACATGGATGGAAATGCTTTCAGTGGTCGATTTTACGCGTTCTTGAAGAGCAAAAGTCTGGTATATAAAATGGCTGTCTTCAGAGAATGGCATGAGGAATGGCTGAAGCCTTGGGTGCATTATATCCCTTTAAGCTTAAGAGGCGATGAATGGGTTGAGGCAGTACGATGGTTTGCAGGAGAAGATGTTGGGAAGAAAGAAGCAGAACGAATTGCCCTCCAGGGAAGAGATTGGGCAGATCATGTGCTCAGAAACGAAGACCTAGAAGTGTGGTTCTTCAGATTAATGCTTGAGTAAGTTCCACTCCCGTCTACATTTCTAATCAGGGTATAGTACTAATATCTATTCAGATACGGAAGATTGGTTGACGATGACAGAGAGATCATCGGATATACAGGAACAACAGGATCGACATAAACATAATTTCATTATAATTAACTATATTCGAATCAGCTATGTATAATACGAAGATTCCAGATCTTCTTTTAATTATTCCTGTACGATACGATGTTAACGAAACAAAATGCTAGAACAATCGCATTTGCATTTTACGTAAAGCCCCCCCCCCCCTCCATTACGAGATGAGGCTGAGATAGACGGTCAGGAGTTTATGTACAGATCAACACATCAATACTTCGGTTGCTTGACTCGCTGTGGAAAGGGGGGTGTGCCGGGTTCGATATAGTCGGACCCTTTTGTTCTGTTTGGAATGTGTGCAGGAGCATGCATATTACACCATTTCTAATATACCCAGGGGTTTCTTTTCTCTTTAATTCGGATAATTGACGGATATAAGAATTGATACCCTATGTACTTAGTTTGCCTTTATATATTTTATATGTATATAGGCGTGTGCATATTTTCGTCACCTATGGCGATAGGAGGAATTTATCAAACAGATATTGGGGAAAATTAGAGCTTATACAAAATTTTTTACTTTAACATGAGTTTTGTGTATACACCATTGAGCTTGTTCTTTGAAGTTTTCTGATGCAGATCGATGGATGAGTGAGCTCTGCGGCTATTCATGACACATCGTCTCGACATTGGCAGGTGGAATTCAAGGAAGTAACCTTTCGCGCATTGATTGACATTTACCGTATTCAATGAATTACTAGTTCGATTCCGCATTTCAAAAAGCAGTTATGGATCCAGTTGTGGCTTTGCCGGCTTTGAAATCTTAATGGTCGTCAAAGTCAGCCAGTCAGCCTTGAAATGATTAGATAGCCGCCCGGTGCGTGGGTATTGGATCAACGGGGAAATGTAACATACTACCTTTTGACAGTAATTCGAGTTGTGGATTGAGAACTCTCGTTATTCGATGCTTCTCCATATGGTTAGATCTTTATAGGCTTTCAAATGCTTCATGATACCGCTCCACCAAATGTGTATGCCAGGGTACTCTCAAGCTAGATCTCGCACATCTCTAGTTTGAGAAGATTGGCCCTAGACTTATCGCTCAACTTACCTGAATTGCCATATTGTATTACAGAGATATGAATGTGATGTTCTGCGGTAGCCTGGTAGGAACAATGGGCACAGCCCATCATAAGGACACGGTAAAGAATAGCTGAAAATGCAGCCGGCAGATTCGAAAGTCACAACTCGGCCGGCTGTTTCGTTCCCCTCTCATCTTTCACGCCCTGAAACGGGTATCTTTCGCAATGCGAACTGCCAAAACAACGGTGTATTGATGGAGGAAGCCATGCTCAAGTCGACAAAGGGTGTCCAGAAATTGATACGGACCTGCAGTTGTGGAGCTATCTAGAGTATTCGGCTGGCTTGAATGATCGAAATCCTTCTTCGTGGATCTGAAGTTCTCTCAACATGGATGGTAGGTAAGCATACGATAAATTTTGATTGGGAGATGGTACAGGTTTGCAAAGTGATATTCGTGGAATGGATGGCCTCTTCACACATGCGAGAATAGATTTTTGATGATAAATGAAGTAAATAATTAAAAATATACAAATTCAAGCTTGAGAAACACGAATCCCATATTTAAAATTTGTAAATTCTAGTATTTCAGTATATTGCTAGTAATATTGAAGCGGTGATGAGAACCTGTGCATCAGATTCAGGAGATGGAGGCTATACTGAGGTACTGGAAGGGGGATGTTGAGGATATGTGTCGAAAGGGTGGGTGAATGGAAGGACAAGCGCGCATTATTTATGTCGAAAAGTTTAAGCTCGGAATAAGTCCTGATAGTATTGAAATCTAGTCCGTATATCAACCCCCTTTCCGCACCGCAATATTAAGAACTAACCACAAAGTGAAAACTTGCCCCTAAAACGATCAGATTTCGCCACGGTAATGATAGCCACATCAAAATCTCTTTCATAGAATCCGTTCGGTGAAGATTATCTTTCTCACATGGTCTGAGGGTCCCACCTCCTCTATGCCAACATTTCCTGTGGAAACGCAATACCAAATTTCCTTTAATATTTCCACGGCTCCTTTCAGGTATCCCTTTTAAATCCTCGTCCTCTTCATCCTCGATCCCATCTTGATCTGTATAATCCTCATTCGGGGCCCAAAAACGAGTGTCTACAGCATAGACAAATGGAATATCGCCCTTCGCTGGACCTTCTAAAACAGACGCAATGTCCTCTTCGTTGACTAGGAGGAAGAAAGTATTGGTTGGATTCAAACCAGAGTCTATATTGTGAGGTGGCTTAGTCTCTCGAAAACCAGGGATGTCTGTAAACTTTCTTTATGGCTGTTAGCATCTATCTCGTGGAGTACTGATTGACCTAGTCCACAAAAATGACAAGCACATACATGTTCAACGAGGGGATATCCGCACCCTCTTCCTCTTCAAACCACCACAACTTTCGCAAGAATCTAGCACCATCTGGATCTACACCGTGTTTCGCTTGTTCCTCCCACATCTTCATAACAAGTGCATCAAACACTCGTCTAAAGAGATCCTAGCGAGTAGAGTCGCATGCATCATAGCATGTGCGATAGGCTACCGAGCCAGTATAATTGACAGGACATGATGAAGCGGATTCTGCTCTAATCACTTCTTTAATCAATTCTGCCTAGTGTCCATCGTCTTTCAGATCAGTATCAGAATCATTCGTAGAGTTCGGGGTTGTTATGTTTGACACGGTGCGCTTTTGTGAGGATGACTGCTGTGGAACTGAAGAGAAGCGCTTATTCAAGCGACGACAGAAACAATGAAAATGAGAGAGGCAATATGATTGAGGAAATATTGAAGTTCGTCTGGAGAGCACTGCTTGGAGAGTATGACGCATTGTTGAGGTAAAGAAAGGCTGTGCAGTCATGGTTAAGGCCTGCATCAATCATAAAAAGGGCAAAAGCAAGAGAAGTTTCATCCTAGAAATTCACTTGAACCGGGTAGGATAGGTTAATCAAAAAGTGAATATACTTTTCTGGAGTATTGGCATGGTAACAATAGCCAGCGACTCTCAACTTGATTAGGTGCATTTGAGCTCTCGTCTCACGTTTGAGCCATCTCTTCCTACCGTTCTTTCAAAAGATTCCCCATATCCATGGTCACTTAATTCCTCTGGAGTTTTTCTTTCCAGTAACAATATGATCACGTATCAAATCCAAAGATAATGTTACTATCAAATATACATTGGGTAGTCCATTGACGTTCCAAAGAGTTATGGAAGTGGGTGGTTGCAGTGCAAAAATTACGGTGACCACGATCATGACGATTGGCTCGTCAATCGTCGTGATGGTGCCAAGTAGCTTCATCTTGGCTACCGTACTGCACTGCCTCTCCCACGTTTGTCAACGGGACAAACCCAGACCGCCGAATTGTAATTCTCTTGTTGTATCACTATCTGAAGCTTCTATGTGGTTCAATGTCACTCAGCCTTCAAGTTCCAATGCCAACAATGCCGGCAAGGGGAGAGCCCGAATCATCTCGTGTGTCCACACCTTGGCTAAATAAGTTATGTATGGAGTTATCCCCGGTTACGTTGACAGCCACGCTTGGCAATCGATCATCCAAAAATTGAGTTCATCATGAAGTTGACATGTCACATCAAAACATTGTTCCGCCGTGGAATGCAGGAACCCATTTCGCTACCGACACGATAAGATCACCAGCATCACTCTTCACATACCCCATCCATTTGGTAAACTGGGGTACGCTTTCTACCTTTCAGTCGATTTGCCCCAGTTAAAAACGGTCTAATTGGAGCTTAAAATTGCTTAAAATTGCTTAAATTTGTTACCCCTGCTTATTACAACCCAAATCAAATGAATACGGCATCTCATGCATATGAGAACATCGCTAAGCTGGCGATTAGTGCTTCGTGAAGCTGTTGAGTTTTCTATACAATTTGAGTTCGAGCTTGTAGCTTCTAGATTACAAGTCAAGTTATGATCCCGGAGAACTTCTTCCCGTTGTTCTCTGGGCCACACCTTGGCCTGCTTGATCATCGAGTTTCTACAAAAGCCTCTGGTGTTACTGTAACATCATCCGGATGTCACAGAGGACCATCTCTATCTCCAAATTCTTGAGGCATGATTCTGCGTTCGTCGACGCCTTCATTCTTCGTTTCAAATACAAATAATGGTTCCTCAAAGACATGTTTTGGGAAGACCACGCAGTAATGTTATCTCTTGGTTAGCTTCTTATGCTCTTGCCAAGAGAGGCTGTGTCGCTGTCTTGATATGTCACTTACTTTGAGTTTTGTCATATAACCTCGTCTTGATATGTCACTTACCTTTAAGTTTTGCCATATTACCCCGCACCAAAGTAGTCTTGATTAACCCTACTAGAGAAGCTAGTGCTAACGAACATATAAACCGTTATACCTCCTTCGTTGTTTCATAAATTTTGTCCTGTTCAGTGAATCAACTGCACATAAATTCAATGATGTTTCTTTCACGCCTTTTGGCTGGTGCTATTCTGGCTTGTGAGTGATATTTCCCCTGCTTCTACAGTCACCGCTAATCGATCAGCATCGATAATATCTGCTCAGAGTGTCTCCTACTGTACGGGTGATGTATGCTTTGCCGTCAACATACCAGCCTCGACTGCTTCGAGTGGCTCGGGAGATATATATATACAGATGAGTGGACCAGATACAATGTCTTGGATAGGTATTGGACAAGGATCCGCTATGAGAGGTGCCAACATTTTTGTAATGTACGCCGATTCGACTGGGAACAATGTCACAATCAGTCCTAGGCTCGGTGTTGGGCATGTAGAGCCTAATTTCGACACTTCTGCTCAGGTCACTTTGCTGGATGGTTCTGGTATAATAAATGGTCAAATGGTAGCAAATTTTAGATGTACGTTCGGAATCAAACCTATTTGGCACCTATTTTAACCATTCGGGCAGGTTCAAATTGTGATAGCTGGAGCGGTGGATCTATGAGCTTCACTGATTCTTCCTCGGCGTGGATTTGGGCCCATAGGACCGGCGCTGCATTATCGTCCAACAGTGTTGATGCAGATATCGGTTTTCATGACGCATACGGAGTAGCCACTTTAAATTTACAGACAGCTACCGGTGGAGAAAGTACAAACCCATTCTTGACGGTTGGATCCGTTTCTACGCCCAGCCAAACATCCTCTGGCGCTAGTGATGCTGCGATTGGGCCATCTGACATATCGAGAGTGACCATCGCACATGGCGTTTTGGCTGCCCTTGCCTACGTTATTCTTTTCCCTTCAGGTGCGATCGCGATTAGGATCTTTAATTTCCGTAATTTGCTATGGCTCCATGCCGGCTGGATGGTCGGCGCTTATATAATCGTACTTGCGTCACTTGGAATGGGGGTATGGATTGCATACATGTCTAATGTCCTCGGCAGCGCCCACTCAATAATCGGCCTTGTTGTGGCCGGATGCTTACTACTTCAGCCTATCACTGGGTTGATACACCACATGTTATATAAGCGTCGTGGTGGTCCCAATGTTGCAACTTATCCCCACGTTTGGTGGGGCCGTGCGGTTATTACTCTTGGTATCATCAACGGTGGTTTGGGTCTGAGGTTAGCTGACAATAGTAAAAAGGGGAGATCGCATACGGCGTGATCGCGGGTTTTGTGTGGGTTCTGTGGGTAGCAGTCATTCTTTTCGCAACAGTGAAAATCAGAGGGCGTCGTGGCAGTGGTATAGATGGATCTGGAGCTTCGGTAATCAGGGAGAAGTCAAGCACGGAAGGATCCTACTTCCACGATAACTCGTCGCCTCCTCAATCTATGCAGAGAACACATGATCCTGCTAGCTTACCTACATCTCATCGTACTTAGACCTCATAACGTTTTTCCAGACGTCAAACCGGGCATTTATTATAGAAGCCACGAGATCTGTCCATTGGGCTAGATGTTAGTAACAACACAGAATGGGTTTTGGAGGGGGGCGCGGGGGGGCCCGGGGGGGGGGGGTGATTGTTTTCATATTGTTTTAGCGAAAATTCGTCATCTTCATCTTGGACACTGATCTTTGACACAGTAAAATTTAACTACATTAAATTCATTGGGTTTTCCATTTAAAATCTTGATTTTTCTTAATTCCTTCAAATCGTAACGAAATTTCAAAGATTCTCACGTGGTAAAGATTGAGGGATGAGTTTCGCTAGGGCCGATTACATAATGGCACTGCATCCTAGCATCCCCGTGAATCCCAATCGATATTGCTCTCTCGCAAACTATAAACAATTTTCTTCACATCACCAATTTCACCATGGGAGTAGGACGGGTGCTCGTCATTGCGGGTTCTGATAGTTCCGGTGGAGCGTTAGTATTCCGGCATCCTCCCCTTCCACACTTTTACCCCGCCACAGACTAATGGTTATCATATCAGCGGAATCGAAGCCGATCAAAAAGTGATTGCTGCACATGGATGCTATGCCATGACTGCTACAACAGCCCTGACGGCCCAAAACACTCTAGGTGTTGAGGATATTCATTATATTCCTGCCGAGTTTGTTGGAAAGTTGATTGATGTGTCGGTTGGGGATGTGGGGGTTGATGTAGTGAAAACTGGTAATCAACCCGATACTTATATTTGAATTGACGATGAGACGATCATGAATCCGGATAGCCTAAATACTGACGATATGTTAAGGTATGCTAGCATCTGGTGAGACAGTAGAAGTGGTGGCAAAAGCATTAAAGAGACATCACGTGAAATCTTTGATCGTTGATCCTGTGAGCTCATTTTCCTAAAAACGATGTACAAGTTGTCTGACATCCGAAAGGTAATGGTCTCTACAAGCGGATCACAGCTTTTACCTTCTACAGCAATCCGCCAGCTACGAGAGCTTCTATTTCCCTATACTACGGTTCTCACACCCAATGTGCCTGAAGCGCAACTACTCCTTTCCGATGCTGGCAAGTTTGTCAAGGAACCTAAGAACTTGGATGACTTGAAAGAGATAGCGAAATTAGTACAATCACTAGGCCCGAAATATGTATTAGTGAAAGGAGGACATCTTCCTTTGCAGAAAGATGGTACAGTGGCGACAAAGGAGGAGGAAAAAGAACTCATGGTTGATATTTTGTACGGAGAGGGAGTCATCACAGAAATCCGGACTAGGTATCAAAAATCGCGGAATACCCATGGAACGGGATGTTCGATGGCTTGTGAGTTTATTATTCATGTATACCTGGTGAAACAGAAGCTAAATGGGAGTAGCCGCCATTGCTTCAAACATCGCGAATGGACTACCCGTGGTACAAGCTGTGAGAAGTGCTTGTCGATATATCGAAGCAGGAATACGAACAGCGCCAGATTTGGGAAATGGTAATGGTCCGATTAACCATTTCCATTCGACTTACACCTTACCTTTCGCTCCGTAAGTCCTTCCAAGCGATACTAAGTCCCTGTATTGATCATTGCAGGGGTCACTTCGTGGAATATCTTCTGGATAGACCGGATGTCAAAGGAGCTTGGCGAGACCATACTGAGCATGCATTTGTTGAGGGACTTGGAGACGGGACCTTACCACTGGAGTCTTTCAAGTACTACCTCATTCAAGATTATCTTTACCTTGTCTGTCAGAGCATTGAGATTTTTATGTATCCAGTCTAACAAATTACAGGTGCAATTTGCTAGGGCTACTGCTTTAGCTTCCTACAAAGCCAAAACTATGGAGGGCATTGCTGCAGTATGAAAATAGACCCTTCCTGCACATGGTGCGTGCTAACTCTCGATACAGTCTGCAGGTATCGTACTTCACATCCATCGGGAGATGGCCCTGCACATCAATTATTGTGAGGGTTTTGGTATGACGAAAGCAGAGATAGAAGCATGTGAAGAGAGCCAAGGTAAGCTTCTTCGCGTTGATAAATCGAGTTAATTTTGACAGTATCGAAATAGCGTGCACAGCATACACAAGGTACATGAATCTTTCTCCCCGATAGCAATGGTATACTGAAAAGTGATAGGTATGTTCTCGATATCGGACAATCTGAGGACTGGTTGGCTCTTCAAATCTCCATGGCGCCTTGCCTTATCGGCTACGGGGAGATAGCAAAACGATTACATGCAAACCCGAAGACAAAACGGGAAGGAAATATCTATTGGAAATGGATAGAAAATTATGTTGCAGATGATTATACGGAAGCAGTGAAAGTTGGATCAGGTATGTGACAAAATAACCCTACAACTCATGGGGATTGGACAGTATTGACCATTTGGGCAGCTTTGCTTGAAAAACATGCTCTGCTGCAGTCACCCCATAGGATAGAGGAATTGGTCAGAATATTTGTTCATGCAACAAAGGTACGCATATTTTTAATTAAATACCTTTTTCAGAGATCGAAAAGCTGCGTACTTCCATACGCTTCCCTTGGCCTTGAACCTGTCTGTATTGTAATACGGGGGTAGCAAACACATTTAGACAACGGGCGTAAGAGAAATACCTACCGTGCAGCACAGAGAAAGCCTTAGAAAAAACAGAGGCGAAAGAGATACACATAGAACATTTACTAATTGCCTTACAGATGGAGACAGGATTCTGGGACATGGGTGGCGGTGGAGGGAAAAAATAAGATGTAGAAACTTCAAGGTATAGTACCGGGTCCGCAGTAGGTAGCTTTAAGGTACGTACAAAGTACGGAGTAGTAGATAGCAACGACGGTAAAAAAGCTTTCAGACGTGGATGTACCCAGTAAGAGGGATAGAGAAAGAAAAATTGCATTCAGAGATTTACAGTATTTTGGAACAATCTGATTGTTTTGATTGGCTGAAAGAAAAAGAAAAATTCAATTGGAGACAAGATCTTATTTCAGGGTCCAAGAACAAGAAAAATGGATAGCGCTAAATCTTGATTGGGCCTAGCTACACGTATTTTACGCTAATCCCAAAGTAATATAGCGTAGCTTCCTTTCTACTTTTTTTTACTCAAACCTCTTCTTTCTCACTTTCCATTACTTCTCAACCTCTTCTCATCAACAACAATAATTTCATCTGCCAGACTTCTTCTCATCAACCCAAGAAGTCATTTTTGCAGTAATCATCAAAACGAATTTCAAATTAACATCATAAACACACACACTCGTCCAATTTCTCACTCTCAAAAACTATCGCAAATATGTCATATGGAGGAGGATATGGTGGCGGCGGCCGTGGTGGCGGTAACGGGTACGGAAATGGAGATTCCTCATATGGCAGAGGCAACTCTTACTCCAATGGACATTCGAATGGGTATGCAAAAAACCTACGAGTTTAGATATTGTTGATAAGTTTTCGCGCATCGCGTTGCATTGTGTTGAGTGTGTGGGAGATCAGGCTAAGGCTAGCGTTTCGCTTTGAAGCCGAAGCCTAATCTCTCATCGCGATCACAACGTAGCACCATCTTATTTCATTCATTCATTCCGACTTGCTGATATTTACTGACGTGTAATTTATAGTGGATCTAATGGATACTCTGGAGGCGGTGGAGGTGGCTACGGAGGTGGCAGAGGTATGCGAACAAATTTTCACTCAATTAAAATCATCACTAACAATTTCCACAGGCGGCGGAGGTGGTGGTGGAAATGTCAACGGCTACTCTGGAGGAGGGGGTGGTGGATACGGAGGAGGTGGTGGATACGGCGGTGGTGGTGCTGGTGGAGACCGCATGAACAACCTTGGTGCTAACCTCCAAAAGCAAAACTGGGGTAAGTTTGAGAAGCTGTTGATGAATATCCTACAAAATAGAATGCTAACTTCCATACGCAGATCTCAACACCATGCCAAAGTTCGAGAAATCTTTCTACAAGGAGGATCCAGTCGTTGCTGCTCGTTCAGAAGAAGATGTTGCCAAATTCAGAGCTCAGCACAACATTGCCGTTCAAGGCCCAAACATTCCAAAACCTGTTGAGACCTTCGATGAGGCTGGATTCCCTGCATACGTCATGACCGAAGTCAAGGCTCAAGGTTTCCCAGCGCCTACTCCAATTCAATCTCAAGGTTGGCCTATGGCTCTTTCTGGACGTGATGTTGTTGGTATCGCCGAGACTGGTTCCGGAAAGACCCTCACCTACTGTCTTCCAGCTATCGTACACATCAACGCACAACCACTTCTCGCTCCTGGTGACGGCCCAATTGTCTTGGTCCTTGCACCCACCCGTGAGTTGGCTGTTCAAATTCAACAAGAAATCACCAAATTCGGAAAGTCTTCCCGTATTCGCAATACTTGTGTTTACGGAGGTGTTCCTAAGGGTGGTCAAATCCGCGATCTCGCGAAGGGTGTTGAGGTCTGCATTGCCACTCCAGGTCGTCTCATTGATATGATCGAGTCTGGCAAGACTAACCTCCGTCGTGTTACATACCTTGTTCTCGACGAGGCCGATCGTATGTTGGACATGGGTTTCGAGCCACAAATCCGTAAGATTCTCGGACAGATCAGACCAGATAGACAAACTTGCATGTGGTCTGCTACCTGGCCAAAGGAAGTTAGAGCCCTTGCCTCTGATTACTTGAATGAATTCATTCAAGTCAATATTGGTTCCTTGGAGCTCTCTGCTAACCACAGAATTACTCAAATCGTCGAAGTTGTTTCTGAATTCGAGAAGCGCGACAAGATGACCAAACATTTGGAAAAGATTATGGAAGATAAGGATAACAAGATTTTGATCTTCACAGGAACCAAGCGTGTTGCTGACGATATCACCCGCTTCCTTAGACAAGATGGATGGCCTGCGCTCTGTAAGTACTATTGTGACATTCCATGTGAACGTTACTAACAATATTTAGCTATTCACGGTGACAAGCAACAAAATGAGCGTGATTGGGTATTGAATGAATTTAAGACTGGCAAGAGCCCGATCATGGTTGCTACTGATGTAGCTTCGCGTGGTATTGGTATGATTAAAACCCCCTTCCCCCTCACAGCAACGTTCAGTAGCCTTTTTAGTGGTGCTTTACTCTCGACGCTTCGGCGCTTCCTAGATTGCGTTATATTGCCCGGGCCCTATCGTGTCTTTCGGTTCTCTAATTCTAGGGTGTCTTGGATCCTTAAGTGTAGCATAACCGTGCTGCGCTCGTAATTCCAAACTCGACAGTACTTTAACAGGTACCAGATATGGAATTGGCATTTCTTGACTTGATCAAGCTGTCTCCAAGACTCCCATCCCAGAGAGCCTGGATGTGTTGGATCACCTACCCTGGCATAAGCCGCATTGGACAGTTTCATGCCAGTCGCCGAGAGAGTATTGGATGCAGTCAAATGCAGCTTCTTCATGAGCCGCCCTGGACCGTTGCTATACCAATTTTTTCTGTTCTTGCTAACCCATCAATGAAGATGTCCGAAACATTACCCATGTGTTCAACTATGACTACCCTAACAATTCGGAGGATTATATCCATCGTATTGGTCGTACAGGTCGTGCTGGACAGAAGGGAACCGCAATCACTCTCTTCACCACTGACAGTATGTTTCCCGTCCGCTTTGAGGTTTACATTGGCTAACAATATTCCCTAGATCAAAAGCAGGCTCGTGATCTCGTGAACGTTCTCACTGAAGCTAAGCAGGTCATTGATCCTCGCCTTGCTGAGATGACCAGATATGGAGGAGGTGGCGGAGGTAGAGGTTATGGTGGACGTGGCTACGGCGGTGGCCGTGGACGTGGTGGCGGTGGTAAGTTATTCTAAATCCTCCTACCTTCTTACTCTTCCTTGTTCCATCAAACGATGGGACTAACAGAGCCGATGGTAGGCAATTTTTCATCTTCTAACGCTGCTCCTTTAGGTGGAGGCAGACGTTGGTAAGATGTCTTATCCCGATCGATCGAAACGGAGTTATAACAGCCACGACTATCGATGATCATCTTTGATGACGACGAAAACACGTATATTCATCCCATGGTCGTTTTGGCGTTTTGGTTTTCTTAAAAAGGGTAGGGAGGGGTAGAATTGTCTTACGTGATTTCTGCGTACCCTTTCAAAAATTCTTCTGTAATCTGATCTTTCTTTCTCTTTTATTTTATGAAAAAATTGGGTGGCATTGCCATGAATTAGACTGAGGGTTGAGGCTGAATGGATGGTATTATAGATTGCTTCACATTTCCATATCCATCTGACGAAGAGATGAAGGCTAGGACTTGTATGTGCTTTTAACTTGCGTTCCTTCTTTCATAAGTAGATTGCTCTCTGTAGCTAGTTTTAACTAGAAAACATCTCATATTAGATTAAAAATAGTATAAAAATATGAGATCGCTTTCTTCTCGATCATCAATGTTTTATAAGACCTTATCGTGTGAATGCTTTTGTACTCTGTTGTCTAAAATGCAGGAGAATTCGTTGGCAAAAATGGCAGGGTCAAATAGATGCTGTGGATTTGGTGCAAGTTCTTGCCAAAGTCCCAGTTAGTGCATGCGCGCACATCCCAGTTTAATCAACTAGAAGAGGAAGACATCATCTAGATGTGGATGAGAAGCAGTACACAAATCACTTAAGCAAAATCATACATATGAGAAACCAATAAGTCTCAAGTAAATGACAAGCTTTCTGATTATTGATATCTTGATCTTAATTTGAATTCAAAACATTGAGAAGCTGATTTGATGTCAAGTATCAAACAGAGTTTTCTTCTTTTGGTGACCCTGTTTTTTGAGTTTGCTTTGTATTTTGAAGAGTAGAGTAGGGGCTAGGGACAAGAAAAGCAAAAGAGATCTCTTTGCTTCTTCATGCATGCTACGTCTCGAAGGTTCTACTTACGCATCATAAGTAGCCATTTTACATGACCTAATTGAGAGCGGTGGTGCTAGAAACCTGACCGAGTCGAGGATTAGTGATGTCCAAAAAAGTAGATTTTGTCGATGTAGCGTATCCAAATGGAGTATGTGCGTGTAGAATCTACACTTCTATGCAATAACTTTCGTTGGCTACTGTGTTTATGCAGTTGCTGTTAGGGTCAGGTACGTAGTATAGCAAGTCTGTGTAATCATCAATGATTTTATCTACTGGAGGAGCTCGAGAGGGTTAGCATTACAATGGTTCAATTAGCGAGTTGGTTAAGGGGGTTGATAGACTCCTAGGAAATAAGATTTTCCAAGAAACATGCCAATTTCATAGATACCAACGCAAAGGTATCCTTCGCTTGTATCAACTAGGATTCTGTGAAACCAATGTTCGTATCGTCAGCCTTCATTGCTGGCACGGGCTCAGCTCACAGTAAGCTGCGCATCGTTGTGACAATCGTGTGCCCTGAGCCTCATGATCGATCCATGGAGAGACACGTTATACTTACGCGACAGTCGTCATGGAATTTGGTAGGTGATGAAGCTTCTTTAGCAGATTTGTGGCAGCCTTGTAAGGTACCCTTTTATGTGGGAGTGAAAAGTGATGCCAAAGTATTCGAGGCTATGTATACACCAGAAACCTACATCGCTGTGAGAAAGTTACCCTTGCAAGCGATGGAGGGTTTTGGTGCGTTATGACGAAGTGTAGATATACCAGGAGAATCAACATAGATCAGTAAATTATTAAGTGCTTGGGCGTCAAGGAGTTCGATATCAATAATAAGAGTATCGAAAATATCAAGAGAGATGTCAGGCCACTCTTATCCGTCGGTGCCATTCTGTGAGGTCCTTGAAAAGCAGATGCCAAATGTGTACAGGATGTAATTTCAAGAGACTATTTGACGAATGAAGTTCCTTTCATCCCCATTCGGATTGTGGTAAATACTCGTCGCATTTCTATCATCTGCGCTCTACTAGTTTCAGTGGAGGTTCCCGGAATTAGATTCGAGCTTTTTTTTTTCGTTACTTATGAACTTACTTGTGAGTATTCTCTAAAAACAGCATGCAAAGTGAACGAACAAGTGCGCCAATAATCTTTCTGTCCCCACCTGGGCATACATTGAAAGTCTCTTAAAATCTTGCTTGTCTTTACCTCCCATTACACCTCTCGTGTGAGTCTCAACTGCACACTTTTTACGTTGTCTTGCAGATTATCATACTTGTCATCAATTACAATGCATCGTGCAACTCGAATTTTGCTTGCACGGCAAACTCTGCTCATGCTCAATTATACCATGGTATTCGACACTATCATCGTCTGTATAATGTTACCAACGCTTGATTCACACAGACTTAGCAACGATTCCCATAGATGCACTATCTTTCCCAACCAGCAAATGACAACTCAGCAGCTGGATTTGAGCCACTGGCAGATCATGACCAGCACTAGGTAAAGGCGATTGAGTAGATGATTCAAGAAGACACCAATTCTCCTATGAAATACACTGGAACTGTAGCATACTATAGATGCTATGAGACATGTGGTCCTGCCCGCTGGAACATATTTCGGCAAGCTTTCGACAAGTTGCTTCTGAAGCAATGGGAAAACGAAGTGAAAGAAGGAGTGGATCCGGAAAATCTCAGAACGCTGTGGAAGGTACGGTCATTCCAGGTAGAAGAAGATACAAGTATGGTTGCATTGAGAAGGTACGTTTCTTTCTTGCCTCCGGCCAAACGTTTCGGCGTTTTGGGACATATGAACTAACTATGGTAGGACATTTAACGATATACCGACAGTGAGTGAGGATATTTGGGTCGAGGATAGTTGTTGGGTTTCCGGCAGTGCCTCATCTACGGACTCTGAATTTATCCCAACGTCGCAATTCTTTCTTCTGATTGATGCAAATGTCGTTGCCTCCATCATCGAGGGTCCCGCAAACGGCGAAATCCTATTTTTGTGTGTGGTGGACCCCTGCTATGGCCTTGTTGAAGACGATGGTGACGATGGCGATCCGGAGTACAAAGGGTATCTCAAGATATCTGTGGAAATTTTCGGAGAATTCTGGAGTAACGTCTCCGGAGGCGATATCTTTGATAGTGAGAAACTAGGTCCATCCGACCTTGTAAAAACGGAGCTGTTTACTTCTGCGCTGAATAAAGATACGTCTAAAGCCGCAACATTCAAACCACAGGAAGCAGATAGAAGAATCGTCGTTGACCATATATTTCAGCATGAGATCTTGTTCAAATTTATTCATACAGCAGCAGGCAACATCAAGACTTTGCAATCTAGTTCGACGCCCTTGCTTCCTACAATAGCCCCCGAAGTTTGGGAACAATTCAAGCTGGAACAGATTGTGAGCTCGGTAAGGGGCAAGCTCAACAATACCAGTCATCACATTCAAAATATTATTGGCTCGCATGATATCCCTACTGCGTTATTTGGTCTTGGGAAACATATATTTTACATGAAAGTTCTGTTTCACAGCCCTACAATTCGGAACTTTGTCGGGAAGAATGCATGGAGTGATCTCTCGCAGCAAGAAAAGGTAGAAAAGCTCGGCGAAATGATGGCAGTATATAAAAACATGAATTATAATGCCGCAATTTTGCAACAGAAATACGCAAACATCTCATTAGAACTTGCTGCGTTCGAATCGCATGCTCAAACTCAAGCTCTGGTGGATTGGTTCAGGCTTTTCGTCGATGGCATGTGATTAGCGAACAAGTAAGTTTGCCACAACGAAGATAACAGAGATGATTGACGACCTTGACGATATCAATACGTGGGAGCGTGAGACGAATAAACAGAGATTGGAAGATGTTCGAGCTGAAGCCTGCAACGTAATGAGTAGTCTTTGGTTGTATAGCCCGCTTGGAAGTTGAAAACCAAGTCGGCTTATGTCCCTCATCTCGAAATGGCCAGGTAAGTTTTAACTCAACGGTTGATAACAATAAAACATTGTATTCAGCAAGAGATATTTGGTGGTAATTGAATGCAAAAACAATTGAATGTAGCAGATGAAACTGGCCTACCTAGTAGGATTGTCTTCCCATGACCCAGCGAATCGCCCCACTGCTGAATTTGCCAAAAAAAATATCTAACCGGATACAATATCGCACCCAGGACAAGTCGGACAATATCCATCTAAATTTCGGTACCGATGAGGAGGGCCGGTCATTCCTTTACCGATTTGTTGATCGCCAACCAGTATTGATCTTGGCGACCAACACAAAATCAACGTACAATCTTTATGCCTGCTTCGCCTGCTTCGCCAGTCAATACGCGGCAATTACTAAATCTTTTCCACCTTATTGTGGATGTATCTAGTGCGCCGACACTAATCTGGAGCTTGGTTTAGCATTTGATCTTTGTGACAACTCTAATCTTATGCTTCAACTGGGTGAGTGGGACCAAAGGGTTTCTTCGGTTCAAGAGGTGGAAGGATGGACCCGTATATGAGAATGAGAAATCTTTAACTTGTCATTGGAACTTCACGGGATGAATGAACTAGCAAAAGATGTGTATAGTACAGCAAGTTACTCCATATGCAAATATCTGATTTAGAATGTAACCAGTCGAATAAATGAAGGCTCTGAGAGAAGGATTGTATTTACCAATACTTGAATTGGGTAGTACCAATTTCTCAACATGTGGCGCAAGCAGACCGTTTCGGATCAATCTGCGTTGCGATATGTAACCATCAAGCAAAGCCCGTCCACTTGGAAATCACCGCAATATCCATTGTCGGGACCGAATACAGCGACTGAGGCATTGTTCTAATTTGTTGGTGTTCAGCTCCTTCATGTACTCAATTTTTAGTATCAAATGTAGAAGTATCCAACTGCGCCGTCGTCATAAGCGACCAATCATTTCGCATCCGATGGCCCGCCTCGCGAGATATGAGATGAACTTCGGGACCGACAAGATGTCGATATGCAACAAATCTTTCGAAAGAAAACGTCCATTGGCTGACATTGGTGCTATGCCCATTGCTTTACGAAGCAAATATGGTTCTAGATGCTTCGTTTGACTCGGGCAACCAAATGGTAATATATGGAGCTTGCCCCCATCATGGAAGTCAAAGTGGAATGCTTGTCGCCAGTGCTGACAGCATTCTAGACGCAGTCTTTGATAGTTTATCCTACATTTTCCTCACAATCAGAAGATATGTGAGCTTTCTGGCTCTGGTTTCTTTCTCGTTGTTTCTCATTCCGTCAAATCGATACAAACTTCCATATTGTTGCACAAATGCTGGAAAGGGGTCTTAACGATATTCGCCCACCTTTGAGATTGAATATCATGTTGCCAAATACTCATAACACAATACCAACACGATAATACACAGGATACATTCTTGTAAGCTTAGCAATGCGGCAGTAAGAAGTTTGCTACGCCGTGATTCTTTGTGCTACTGATGTTAAAACTCGGACTCCGGAGGCTTCAGACACATGCATGCATTGTGTGATATAAAATCTTGCAAAGCATGTATATCATCAAGACATTGTATTCTCTGAACTTCAGTCAATTCCTTCATATCTCATTAATAAATCTGGTTTTGGCACTCTTCGTTCCCTTATGTCTTGCTTTCAATCTCTTCTCTCACAATAATTCTATGCCACCAACTACCGCAAGTAGCAACCGTTGGTGCATGGACTCATAGACTAATGCGAAATTTGAATACAGCATTGTTCCTTCAGTTTTCATTCATACACCATTTAAATCTTCAATGTCGAGAGTTGAGGAGCTCCCACTGTTGTAGCGCGCCTTTACTCTTTCCAACCTTCATTAAAGAAAGTTTTATCTCTAAAGTCTACAGGGTGAAGGGGCTCATTCTATCTCCGCCATGATCGCCCTCATTTTTATAAATTCCGAATTCTCCGTGTACAAAAGTAGTATATATGCTCCCCTCACGTGGTTCGGACATACCGGTAAGCAAAATACTCCGACTCGGTTTATTTGGGCGGGTCAGCTATACGTACAAAGCCGTTTATTGTTTAGCATGCGGCAGGTCTAGAAAGAACTTTTCATCCAGAGGTGGACGCATACACGACTCCTTATCTCACATTCCTCATACTTGACATCACTTAATTCCTACATCCAATCCACCTTTGTTCTAAAAGAGTTATGGCCACCACCATCATTCATTCCCCAAGCACATTCAAGCACGGCATTCTTGATGTAAAAAGCAAATCACAATATTCTATACTTATCGTTTAGACTCCTATGTAGTATGTATCCTGCCTGTCTTCGGCCTTATCCGCCTCCCCTTTTCTATTGGCATTTCTCAAAACCAATTCATCCTTTCAAAAAGTAAAAGAAAAACATACAACAGTGGGGATTCGCTGGTGGTCACCCACCCAACTACTAATCCACCGATCTGAAGCTTGTGTATGGCAGAGCGGACGGGATGCCCAATTCTCTTCAGTCTATGGTCGTATGTGGTAGGTATGTGCAAACTCAAGTATATATACCAACAGATGAGTATATCTGGCAATTATTACAGGAAGTACTAAGCAATCCGTTTGTTCTTCCTCATCATCATGATGGGCTCAAGACTCAAAGCTAACAATGCCCACGGACCTTTTATCACTTGATTTCAACTTTGTACTCATGTCTTTCTCCAACCTTTCGCACCATCACGCAGCATATTCAAAGTTTTAAGCAATTCCCCTCCCCCCTAGATCTTTTTATGCGAGGTTTATCTTATTAGTTTCCCCCTTGCCCTTTCGTTTCCTCCTCTGCTCTGTAGATGCTCTTTCCGAGATCTTTTAATGCAGATTACCGCGATCCTCTGGCAGCCTTTCCAATTGCATCATCAACTTCTGCATTTCATTTTTGATGTCTGCGACAATCTCACCTTGCATGTGGATAGTCCTGATGCAATCTAACACGCCTAGTCTCGTGAACAGAGATCCGACTAGCTCACAGAGAACTTCACCGCGCATTCTGTGTATCCCGTTGCCAACATGCCCCGATGTACAGTTGGAAAGTTTAGCAAGAACTTGCGCCGTTCTTTTGTTGGCAACTCTTTCAAGTCGTTCGAGTGCTTCTTCGGATACGGATTTCCCACCCTTTAAATTTGGGTTCTCGAAGTTTCGCACAATATATCGAGGCCAAAACACATAAACTTCCAGAAATTGATCTCGACTTATTGTTCTCGCCTGCTATGTCAAACTGTTCATTGGCTTCAGAGCTAACACAACCTCACCTATGTTTTTCTAAATCGTGATTCCATTGGCATTTAATGCAGCTTTATCGGCACATAGTTTAGACTCATTTTTCGCTAATATCTTCAGTCTACGAAGGCTAGCATCAAGGGTTCTCTTCTTTCCGTGTGCGATAGTGCTGTTCCATCGTTTTCTTGATTCCCCGGTCATTGTTTTCCAGGATTTGCAGCTTCTCCGCAACGCTTAGTCCCATCATCTGAAACCACGTCAAAAATTCGCCGTGAAGGGAGTCATCATTTAAGCGACATAATACAGCCAGGTGATGCATCGCCAGTAAATTCTCCTTTCTTCCTTCTTCCTTCCATTCTACTTTAATTCATCTCAATGGCCTAATCCCAGCCAGAATTCTCGCATCTCTACCATCTTCATAATTAGGAGAGATGCAATCGTGAGGCTGAGCTTATCCAGGCCTGGTATTGAATCGAAATTCACGTGAAAGTTGCAGAAACGCAGCCAACCTGACGAAGTGTATTATGAATGGCCCACCAGCCTGCAACGCCCAAAGGGACATGGAATAGTTGTATCTGCCAAAGCGACAGTAAAAGTGATACCGCCATCTCTATTGGATGAGACTTGAAGATTTTGATCAATATTGCAACGTGAAAGCTGGCCAACATCTCTTGAGCGGACTTCTTGGAAAACTCATGGGCTTTTGGTCATTTTTAGCGAGTCTTATCACGTTTCTGCCCATAGTCAATCTTGTTTTCTGCTTTCATAGGTGTCTTTTGATGCCACTAAGTGCGCTGGGGCATGTCTGCTCGCTCCCATTGAACTGGAATAATATCGGTGAGAGCTAGAATATCAGTGGTATTATTAGCACCCACAACCCAATAACTTTATCATGGGATATATGCTTGAGACATTGAAGATTGATGCCTCACAATAAAAAACATGATCTTGGTTGCATTCCCCCGCGTTTCTGGGGCTAGATCTCCCCACTTCGTCGACAAGAACGGAACACTTCTGCTGAAGCTTGATTCCGAGAGCGAGATGATAAGTGTAATTCGTTTTGCGGAAGTCAACGAGCTTATCTTTCATTGATCAACATCCTTCATAGTCCATCAACGATAGTGGCCTTTGTCGCGAAATTTGGAGGATATCTGATTGCTGTTGACGGGAAGTTGTAAGAGCTTCATGGTACTTGCATATTAGTTGAATTGAGGTCCTGCATCTGCAATTTTAGGTCGATTAATTCTTGTCATAAGTACGTCATGGATGCAATAGAGATGATTGTCGCATGGTCTATTAAACCTACGCACGTCGACCATACCTTAGATATCAAGACAAGCAAACTACCCAGCCGTCCGTCAAGGGCTAAAAAATCTCGCAAAATTGAATGTTCATATATTGCTAAAAACCGCATGTACTTGCTGGCATTCGCCCCAGGATCCTTACTGAACTCGACACCATCTCACGATACAATAAAGTTGCATGCTAACCATCATCTACCATTGATAATCCATCAGCAACCCAAGTTCCAATGTCC